GTCACTGATTCACTTGCTGGTTTTCATCGTAAGACTGATGTGAAGATGCATTAGTTAAAATATGTAAATACACACCAAAATGAAACTGAGTGGTCACAGAATTCGATTCTCTATCTTCCTTCCCCTAATTGAAAATTAATGCTATGATATATAAAATCAGTGCTCTTACATATAAGGAGATACTCTTGAGACTGACCTCTGTACTTCCCTAGAAAATGAAAAAGCGTTCTCAAAAGTAGTCTAAGATGGCACTTAGCAATAAGCAATGCAGTTCTAAATGGAACACAAAATATGCTGATTTACAGAAACAATCATCCTACCCTCATACTACAATAGGAAGGAAAACAAAATAGTCACATTTATTACTTCTCTGTATCAGTCCTTAATGATTATAAGTAAAATCATACGGAAACTAGAGGTAGGCTATACAGCTATTTACATAGGGAAGGAGTTCCAACATGGGTTTATCGATACTGAAATTGTAAAGAAATATCAAATTTGTCTTAGCTAACACTGGACTGACAGTATGCACGTAGCCTTAAATACAATTATTTTCCCTTCAGAGAAATTTCAGTAAATAAATTATATCTAAGAAGAAGAAAAATAATGTGACAGACTTACAATAATTGATTCTATTGATTGTGCACGGTTTGCTGATTCAAGTGCATATTGTCATCAATTGCTGCTAAAAACCATCTCACTCTGCAGACAGGGTAGGTGTACTCAAACCACCTGGTAGCATACACATAGAAGTGCTGCTGGAACTGCCCCTGATCAAATGCAGATCTTAATGAAAATAAATATACAGTTTGATTTTAAGAAAAATTTTGACACTACTTAATGTATCAGGAACACTTTTACCATATGAAATCTGTATTAATAAACACAAGTAGAAGTTTTTATCAATTTAACATTCGTTCGTTAAGGTTACTCTAGAATTAAAATTAAGTAGCTTCACTTGTTACGTAACTTAATACTATGCAACAAAAGAGAATGAATAATTCAGCATATGCAAGATATTTTTTTCTTGGCACATCAATTACCTTCTAATAAGAAGGGAAGATAATTAATTTGAAGAAACACAGACAAACTAATATCCACAAATGAAGTCCATTATACCTAAACTGTAGATAGTATGGAAAGTTTCTCAGAAACTTTTTAATCTAAAATTTTTCAGCACGCTTCAGTGTGAGGTTTGCTTCCATTCCTTTTCGCTTTCATCCATTTGAGGACCATGTTTGCACTGTCCCTCAGGGGTGCCACTTCAGCTAGCCCACTGATGCTCATGGATCACACGATGAACTAAGCCACACCACATTCTCTACAACGTTAAGAAACCGTAAACAATGTACAACTTCCTACAAGTCAAATAATTAGCTTAAATACAATATACTTTTAGATTATGTCTCGCTGCAGACATCAGATACCGGGTAAGGGATCTCTCAGCCCCAAGTGCTCACCGTGAGAGGTGTCCCTGCTCCAGAGGAGATTGCTGTGCAGCCCGCTGCCGTGCCAGAGCTCAGTGGGCTCTGGTGGCTGCAGGTATTTGTAGCGTAGAGTGACTGGCTTGTACTCAAACTCCCCTCTGGTGCACGTGCAGGGGTGCGACCCTGGCAATTTTTAGTTCTGCCTAGTTACAGCTTGGATGGGTATTGTGGTTTTGGCTCAGAGCACTAGTTCCCAGTAAGATGTGACTTAGTGCAAGCCCCCGAGGTTTGCACAAGAGGGCTGATTTCAGTCAGGCCTATTTGTCCGAGATGCCTGAACTAATGTATTGCTAATTCAGCCACAGTGGCTGCACCCATTGCAAACAGACAGTGACAACCTTTCTGTTTGCTAGCCTGAGAAGCAAATGCATGCAGAACTAGTAAGTATAAAACTAACACACCATATTTTTTGACATTAAAGAAATAGCACTGAAAAATCTGAAGACTGATGCTTTCTGTTTTATTAAAAATTGTGCTGGGCCTTCCTGCATTTGTAACATAGTAGTCAAATTCCCAAACAATTTTGTAATAAATAGCAAAGCAAGGACAGTGGTGATGCAATCCTCCTCCTGTTGGCCGTGCTTTGTGGCCTATTAAGAAAAATCTTAGGCCATAGGAAATCACTAAGATTGCTGTGCCCATTTTTCTGTTCACTTGTTTTCACCCTCCCGAAGTGGAGGACAATCAGTACCAACTAAGAGGGACTTCCACGCAAAATATAATACTTAAATCAATAGCAATAAAGTCAGTTGGACTTGTCTATAAAGCTGTAACAAACTACAATAGTTGAGGAGCACAGAAAAAGATAAAGATCATCACGCATATTTTGCAAAGGTGTCTACGAAGATATTAACAATTATATTTCACACCTGGTGAACTGGATCTAAATCGAACGATTTTAAGCTTTTAGTTATTTATTAAGGCAAGTCTAATGTAATAAGAGTCAGTTATATCATCTTAGATAGCTACAAGGATATATGATTCTGTACTTATCACAAAAAAATTATCTCAATCAAATAGTTTCCAAGATTTTCAACACCTCCCCCGTCGTCATAGGAATGGATTACCCAGGGCAATTTATTTTCTGTGGGTAACAGATATATAATTCTTAGATTATTTAATTATGGTGTATTTTCTACAGTTTATTCTTATGTTCTATGTAAAATTTAGTGTAAGAATATTTTCTGAAATGATTTATTGTAACAACTCCAAAAGTACAGCAAGTAAGTATGCTTGGCTGACAAGTCAATAATCACTCCCAAAAGCTACTCTACACTATCATGTGCAATATTAATACTAATGCCTGCCTTATAAGCTTTGACAATGTGTAGAAGTTCTGAAAGTACACAATTTCAATACATCTTATTATGCTATTTAAATAAGAATAGCAAGTTAATATTCAGTCCTCTTCAAGAGGCATGCATGGTCATAAACAATATATTGTCAGTTAATTGCACTATTCTAAATAACAACTTTTGCAGCTTTTAAGTGCATTAGCAGTTTTATAACAATTTTCAGTACTTTCAGAACAGAACTTTGCATTGTTGTGACTGATTTTCATTTGTACCCAACACTAAAACAAAAAAACAAAAACAAACAACACCACAAAAACCCCAAACCAACCCAAAAATTAGACTTGCAATCCATTAAGTAATTTTGGCATGATTCATGATATTTTAAAGGTGTTCCTTTTAGGTCTAATTTATCAAAACCTCTTTATGGAATTCAAACTTCATATATTGCTGTGAATATTCCATTCACTGTATTACCTGACTGAAGTTAAATTTGTTGCTTTTAACAAATTTTAAACTAACCTCTACACTGAGCAAATTGCACAGGACAAAGTGAGAAGGCAGTGAGCCTGAAGAGGCATGCTGTCAACTATATAAAACTGGCTTATTCCTTTGGAGCAAGGCAAATGGGCATAATTAAAAATTATAGGTTATGCTGAACATAATGATCAAAGCTGTTTTGAAGAAACAAGTTGGATTTTTCAGTTAAAAATATCTCTCAGTGCCCACCAAGAGTTGTAAGACCTTTCCTTATATTTATATTTTTGCTTACGTGACATCTAGAATGCATCAGCTTGCTTCAATAATTTCAGACACCATACATCATAAAACAGTGTCTGTACAGTCTATAAGGTGAATGAAAACCTGTGACAGCACAGCCATATAACCCAGTTACGTGGAAACAGCATTATTTAGTCTAAATTTTTCTACTGAATGTACGGGCTATTAAGAAGGTGCCATAAAATCTCCTGTATCTAATTAGTTTTCTAATTTGGAGTTTAAATTTACTGAGTTGAAGCCCAAAACAGAATTAAAGCATCATCCATTTTCTCAACAAATGCAACAGAGCAGACCGATTCTTCTGTACTTTGAAGCTGGCATCTTAGACCTGCCTCACGCTATTACATCCTTTTTCTGGGCATGCAATGGAGTAAAAAGAACTGCAGAAATGTAAAAAAAAAAAAGACTACATGATTTTAACGTTTACTACTTGTGAGAAAATGCTCAATTGCCAATTATCAACGACTCAGACGTGATGCGTTGTGAAGCACTTTTTATTACGTTCTTGCAAGACCGGGCGCCCCACCAAGTGGAAGCGCCTGGCAGCTGTTGTGCGATGGTTTATATCCCTGTCTCCGGACCACAAGTTCTCTCCCCTCATTCCTCACTGGCTGAGTACTACAGGGTGTACAGACCTCCCGAACCACCTGCCAACACGCCTCTTCATGTATGTGCTCATACGTCGCATGCTCATGGAAATGGACCTCGGCTCTCTCCAGGGCGGAGAAGTTTATATGCATGAGCTCATCACGCAAGCGTACCAAGAGGAAAAGTTCAAAAGTTCAAGTTCCCCCAGCCTTTTGGTATCCCCATCCACCTAAAACTAGTTCCAAGTACTGGGTCACCACAGTTAACAAAAGCACCTCCTATCTTCTGGCCACAGGCTAGGTGTGAATCGCTCCTCCTTTATCAGACGTGTTCTGAGAAAACAACACTCTTTCTTTCCCTTACAATAGTTATTGTAATAATTTACTTTCCCAGTATCCTAAATAAGTTTTGGCAAGTATACTGCACTGCTAACGCAACACGTGCTGTGTATCTTTCGCTTGCAAAGGCATTCAGTTCAGAATTCTGCAATGACGGTGTCTTGCCATCTGACAGCACCAAGAGATACACACTTAAATTAAGGTATCTACCTAAATTAGTCTTATAATAAAGTAGCCAGTCTCCAGTCCAGAAGGCAATATTATAATGATGAAAAAAAGAAAGCCACAGGAATTGGGAATGCAGGAAATCCTAGATTCTAGTTCCAGGGTATGTGCTCTACATAACATCTGACCAGAGGAAGATGAGTCTAACCTTGTGGTCATTGTAAGTGAAGAGAAAAATAAAGCATGCATGTAGAAAAATATGACAGTAAGATTAAAGAGACATTCATAAACACCTAAAAATATTATTTCAGTTAATATATGGAAAACAACGTCAGAAAGCAAGAAGTTACCTTTCAGCAGTTGCTGCTGAAGAGGTTTCCAACACATCCTCCTCAGCTTTTAACACTGAGCTTCCATCAGCATCTTGTTTCACTTGGGATTCCTCGCAGGCATCACCTACGTGTTTATATTTGTCATATCCAAACAAGTATGACAAAATTTAGCTACCAAAAAGGGAAGAGCCAACATGAAATGCATTAGCTATTAGGTTAGTTCACTTACAAATCCGGCAAAATATGGGTACAAGACACCCACCCTTCTATTTGTTCTTTTGTACATGTCTTTGCTGGAGCCCTTCTTTTCTCCAGACCCTCTCCTCTTTTTTTTTTTTTTTTTTTTTTTTTTTCCTGAAGGAGAACATGCAGTTGATCTACCAGGCCTTCTTGGTGGTGGTGAAGGCAAGAATGAAGCAGATGACACAACCACAAGCTTTCAAATGCGAGACAGTTATGCACAACTGATGCTTTGTAAAACGATTTGGTTTGGAATACAACATTAATTTATAAATGACAACCAAATGCAGCAGCTGTTGCTCAGAAGTATAACTGGCTCTTCACATGCAGCCTGCAGATAAGCACGCCCATCTCTCCTGGAAGTCGGGGGAAGCTCCACACGCGCATTACTTACCTTTCAAAGCTACATGGCTTAACATCTTGCACGAGTGTCAAAATAGGAAAGGTACAAATTACTAGTTTCACACACAAATTAACTACTGCTGCTGCTGCCTTCGCTTCTTTACCTGCTTGTTTACTGCTGCTTGCCAAAGGAGGGAAGGGCAGGCAGCAAACAAGCGCCACGGCAGCATGACGGGAACATGACGGCAGCATGACGGGACCACCACCACGCGGCGGGTGCTTGCCCTACGTCAGATGTAACCGTGACGACGCCACGCCGGAGGCGGCCCCGCCCCGCCCCGCCCCGCCCCGCCGCGCCGCCTTACCCGCGGCTCCCCGACCCGGAAGCGCTCTGCCCGCCCGGCCCGGCGCGGCGCGGCGCGGGTAAGATGGCCGAGTCGCCGGAGGAGGTGGCGGTGCTGGTGCAGCGGGTGGTGAAGGACATCCGCAACGCCTTCCAGCGGAACCCGCACATGTGAGTGGGGCGGAGGCCGGGGCGGGAGCGGGAGCGCTGCCCGGCCCCCAGCCCCGTGCGTGCGCCCCGGCCGGCGGCAGCCCCGCTCCCTCGCCTTTGGGCAGGCGGGGGAGCGGGGTGCCCGCCCCGGGGGGGGGAGCGGGGTGCCCGCCCCGGGGGGGGGAGCGGGGTGCCCGCCCCGGGGGGGGGAGCCGGGCCCGAGGTCCCGCCGCGGGGGCGGGGACCCGCCGGGTTTCCCCCGGCGGCGCGGGGGCTTCAGCGCGGCATGTCCCCGGGACGTGGCAGCCCGCGAACGGGAGGGGCCGGCGGCTTCCCCGGCACCCGCGCCTCACCGGGGCGAGCCGCCGGCGCCTCCGGGCTGAGGCTGGCAGCTGCGCCGGGGGCCGGTGCTGCGGCAGCTCCCCCGCCGCTGGTGGGCCGAGCACGGGCGAGAGGGCTCTGGAGCCTGGAAGCGGCGAATGTCCTTTTGAAGACAAGCTGTGGAGTCATCCCGACTCGAGTGTGAGGTTTGGCAGGGTTGCGGTCGCGGTGTTAGGGGAGGCGAGCCCGGCCTCTGCCCGCGGGTGGGTCCGGTGTGCCGGGCCCCGCCGCGGGGTCTGCGTGGGGCAGGGGGCGGGCCCGGGTGGAAACCGGGCTCGGGGCCGAAGCCTGCTGCATCGCACCCTCGTAACCGGCAGCGCGGCTTGGCGGGTGCCGCCATCAGAGCCGTGTTGGTTAATAGAGATGCCGGTGCTTTTCGTTTTGCGTTGCTTTGAAGGAGGCGAGCAGAGTGACTGTCTAAGCACAAACTACGCTTATCACTTTCTTTTGAGGATCAGGTTTATCTGGCGATCTGGGGGTCAGATGGTCTGCGATTTAATTTCAGTTCCACTGATCACCAGCTCCAAGATCCTGATTTAGAAACCTGCCATATTTATTTTTCCTTCCCTATCCTTTGTTGTTCTAAGACACAAACTGTTTAGGGAAGCATCGTCCTACCTGCTTATGTTAACTCTGTATTGGTTATGGCAAATAAGATAGCACATAATGGATAACAGCTTCATGACGTAAGTATGGTGTATTTGTGTCGGTTGAAAAAGCTGCTGTCTCTGAGGTGGTGGCCTACTAATCTGTTCCAGAAAATGGTATGCTAAGCAACTGCATAGGAAAATTTTACAGGCACTTAATTTATCCCTTTACTTAAAAGAGAGGATTAGAGTGAATACCCTTATGTTTCTATAAATGTGTAGTAAGCAGCTTGGGTGGGTGGCCAGGTTTTAAAATGCAGCATATGGAAGCTGGCTAAAAAAGAACTGCATTTTGCCATGAAGTTTCATTTTTAGGTTGTGAGGCAAATGTGCTGTAAACAGCCAGTATTTGTGAATGAATTTTCTGATTCTTCATAGTTCCTACTCCTTTGCCAGAATTGTTTATTGGCAGCAAACTTTGAGCTTGTGTTTTTGAAGAATATGCTGCTTACCTCAGAGGTAAAAGTAGGCTGCAAGAGTTGTGTTCTCTGAGACTGCGCTGTGTCATGCTTTGAGCGAGGAGGTATGAGCTACTGCTGGTTTACCCCTGAAGTAGAAAAAGCAGCAATTCTGTCTGATCGATTTCTGAACTGCAGTGCTTCAAATGGGACTTTGTGGCCAATGTAGACTGTGGGCCCTTTGCTACGGTGGCTCTCTGTCTCTGGAGCATCAGGTTGTAGCCATGCTGACCAGACATTTTGATGTATCTTGGTTTTCCTGCTGGTGTCCAAGACAGTCGTAACCAGCTGCAGTCCCTGACAGATGTTACCTTCTTAAACTGAGCGGCCTGTTCATGTCACAGATCCAGGTTTGAATTATTTTACATGGCATCCACCTGGCTCCTCTGAAAATAAGGGATCTGCCACGTACATGATGTTCCTATACACATCTTATACTTTTATCCCTTACTCATCACTCTTCCAGCGTTTGTTGTCCCTTATCTTTGACTGTTCATTTGCCCCCTTTGCATCTGTCAGAATGGGTGTTTTGTTCTGGCAGGTTGATGATTTTGTAGGTTTTAAAGGGGGTCTTGTCTCTGGTCAACACTAAAAAGCATGTGAAAATACAGTTTTAGACTAAGTAGAACATTGGATTGTTTCTCTTTTAATTTTGGTTTAAATTAAATTTGCAGCAAGACACTGCATCTTTTTAAGATGAGCTTACTTCTAATTAAATATACAACATAAAATTATTTTTGACTTGTCTCACTGATAGCTCCATTTTCTTCAGTCAGGTAACAGTCTCAGCATGCTATTTTTCAGTTTTGTGAGGCTATGAAATTTAGTGGAAGATATTTTTACCCAGTCCTACAAGCATAGGTGCTGATAAAGTCATATATGTGAGCTATCCCACTGGAACTGAATGGATTACCAGTGAGCAGATCAATGTATACTTTCATTTTGAACTTCGATGGTCTTCTGTACATAAAGTCAAACAGAAATAGACTCACTTGTCAAAAAAGAATTTGATGGGCATAATTGGAAAGATGAACTCTTACCTGGTAGCCCAGCATTTATGTACAAAATATGAGGATATTATTTATTGTTTGCCAAGAATCATTTATGTCACTGCAGTTCAGATATTTTTTTCTGTCTCAATTCATCGCATTCTTCCTGTAGTAAAAATGCTGTCCTTCACTTTGTTAGGTTTGAAACTCTGAATCAAGGTTTCTCCTTGTGCGGTTGCAAATTTCTCTGTAGGGGATGCAGAAAGAAATATATGTCCTTAAGTCTTTGCTGTAGCTAAGCATGAAATTTGTCTTGCCAATGTTCTTTTCATTAGATTGTTTTAACACCCTTGTGCAGCATTGATAATTCCAAATATACCAATAGTAGGTAAAAAGAATTTGCCTGTAATACTTCATGGGAGGGGTCATCAGTGCAGAACTTTGTTATAGCAGCAGAAGTTTCCAATCAGGTAGAGATTAATGTCAGAGCAAACAAAATGAAACTCCTAGAGAGTGAAAGTGTCATAGCTTCTTTAGAAGCAAATATTGGCCAGAGGTAATTCGGATTTCAGTAATATATTACCGTTTTTTCATTTACGAAAGATTCTGGTTGTACCACTAAGTTAATGACTTATTATAACAATGTGAAAATTAATTTAATATTTGAAATTCTTAAAGAGAATTGTGTATACAATGCACTTCAAGATAAAGAAAAAAACCCTTTCAACTCTTAGATTTAGGCCCCCTCTTCCCTATCTTTCAAATGTTGTAAAGTCATTAGCCATACAGTCGTTTCATGAGACTTAATTTAATGTAAAAATACATGCCTTTCAAGTGTGCATGCTCTGGATTGTCTTCCAGTATTAAAAGCTTGTTATAATTGCAGAAATATTCAACCACTTAGGGTCTAGTCTGTATTGTCAGTAGAGTTGCAGTTGCATCGTACCCACTGATTGTACCTCATTCAGGTCTTCCAGCCATTATTTAATATCCTCTGTCTAATTCTCTGGGGAGAGGTTGGATTATTTAAAAGGTGATCTTCCAGAAAAAAAAATCAGAGAAGGTTCCTTCATGTGGGGTACCTGAAGCCGAAGACCTATCACGGTATCATCACAAGAAATGCCTCCTTCCCTAGCAGTACGGTGGTATTGAGGTTTTGTGGAAAGGGGAACTTTTTTGTGTCATCATGGTCTTAAAAGCTCAGAGTAGGTTGGCTGGGGGTGGGGCTTTGAATGACTGAGTCAACAGACTTGGGGCTCTTGAAGCAGTTCCTGCAGTGGCTTGTCAGTACTGTTCTGCCAGGGTTGAGGTTTGTTCAATGGACTGGTTCAGGATTGTGCAGCTCCAGGGTCTCCTGGGTCTCATCTTGCACATCATTTTTGATCTCAGCACAGGTTGAAGAAGCTATGTAATGTCTGCAAACTTCATGACAACCTAGCTAAAATTTCCCACTAAGTTCTATCTACTTCCATGGTATGTTTTAGGAATGTGAACTAGTGTGGCATCCTGTAAATACAGAGACCATTCATGCAGCTTTTGGAACGTGACTGTGGTGCTTGCTTTGAGGAAAACAAATGTAAAAGCACCAAATAACTCGTAACATTCAAGAGACAGTATCAGAAACCTGGGAAATCAAGGGAGAGAAATTTAAATCTTAGTTTCATAGTGGCTGGTGCTTTGGACAGTACACAATACTGACAAACACAGCACTCAGTGTCTCCTTCAGTATTGTGAGTAGCTTGCACCTGTCGCTTGACTGAAATGTAGACATCCTTCATCCTGCAATGAGTTTGGGCAATCCTGTCATAAACAGGCACATCCTCTCCCACACGGCCAGCGGCAGTTTGTACTATATGAAGGGTACTTCAGTCACTTATTTTTACAAGCACTAATTCAGTGGTGCCTGCATGCCAGTCCTGCTGCAGAAGGTTTCTTCAGGTTCATGATGGAGTAGAGGTTTCAGGTGTTCTCAAGCAGTATCTCCTAGGCTGACAGACCAGCCCCCTCACTTGCAGATCTGAGGGGCCTCCAGGAGCAGAAATATATGGTGGCTTGAATTAATTGTTTTGGCTGTGAGATAGACACCCCATCTTAGATAAATCTGCCCTCTTGGTATTTTGCATCATGAATTCTGTTCCTTCTCAGTAACTGGATGCAGCATATGATTTCTGAACCACACGGATCATCAAAAACAATACCAAGGTGTTGGAGACAACATTTCTACCAAATGACAAGTCCTGGTTTGCATCTTGGCAAAAACTGAGTAGTTACCACATAAACCATTTTCTGTGTTGAACTGTGTCTTGGTAAGTTGCATTATGCAGTGGTCTAGGCCTCTGCTGATTTTGGCTGGCTAAGCACGTTCTGGAGTTGAGGTGTTTCAGGCTGACTTGTCAGCTTTGTGCAGACCCACCTGTCTGCCATTTTGTCATGTTTAAAGCAGTCTTGTGAAAGTTAGCTCACTCGAGTCAGACTTCTTGTATTTGGTAAGAAGTGAAGATGTGGATATATGGGTTCTGGTGTTTGTTTGGTTGGTTTTTTTCCTTCCTCTTTACCTTTGGTGTACTGTTTGTAAGAAACAGCTGGTAAATTTTTGTGGTAATTCATGGAGTTAATTAGCAAAGCTGTGGGTGACTGTATCTTCATTGCAGGTGGGCACCTGTATGTCCTTATATACAAGGCCAGGCAAACTTTGGCTTAGAACTGAGTTTAACACTCATAAAAGAAAGTAGCCAGCAGTAAGTACAAGCTTCAGGCTATAAGGTACCATGTTGAAGGAAGGAGACTGGAATATCATTTTAGGTCTAATCTGACTAGCTTTCTGAAGAGTTTAACTTGTGTTGAGTGGAGTAGCAGAGATGAGGATCTCGTTTTGATATCTGTTGTGTGTAATTGGTGGGGTAGGAAAATGCTAGTTTTCCTCTCTGGGATGGGTAAGGGACCTGGGTGTGTGTTTGGAGACAGAGCCAAGTCATTTGCAAATATTTTACCTCAAGTTGCTTGTGCTCTTTGTGGCTTGTGATGTATTTTGTGATGTATGGAAGATGAAATCTGTTTTCTGAATAAGTAAATATATTCTTAAACAAGCACATGTTGTCACTTTTGATTACTTTAGTAATAATCCAGTGAGGACACAGAACTAAATCGGTACACTCAGATTATCCAGTAACAAATTTAGTATAAGATAATTGAGTTAAGGTTGTAGGGTTGACACTTGGAGTGTACCTGTAGACCTTGTATTGAGAAGATTTCAGGTGGAGAATTTGCTTTCTATCTGAAATCACAAGAGATCTTTTTTTTCTCCTTGCCTGTGATCTGAGGATCTCCTTCCTCAGCAACAAAATTTTCCACTAAACAGGAGTTGGTGGAGAAATCATGAATAATGAAAAGTATAAAGTAATGTTGCTTTCTGTCCCAATGAGACTGAATGCTTGGCAATCTGTGTTTGCTTTTAAGTTGTTAGGTCTGCTCTTTCAACATCCCTGCACAGTAGAGAAAGCTGAGGAAAAAGTAAAATATGGTATGGCCCTTTGAAACTAAACAGCTGAGTCTCTTCTGCTTTGTTTACTAGTATGAATTTCTGTGGCCATTGTTTTTTTTAGAGGTTTGATTAAAGCCTCTCATACGAAGCTGCCATTTAATCGGACTGGCCTCCATGTCTCAAATCTTCCTCCTGTTCAACAGGCTGCCTTGCATAGAAGGTAAAATGGCACATGTGGAAATGTACATGTGGAAACACGCATATTTGCTGTCTGTGATTTTCTTCTGCACGATCTTTGATTTCAGACTACCTGGTCACAATGCTGCAGGGCACACCTGGATAGCTGTGGGTCAGTCAGGTGCTTGTACTAGTTAGTGTTTTGTTTCCCTTGCAGTAGCAGTTATTACAACTCCATCACATCCCCATCACAAAGCCAAGAGTAGTGGTGTTTATTCAGCTGAGCTAAACTGTGTAAGTGATAATCTAAAAATACAAAAAAAAGGAGACCTTCCTCATTTAGTATCTTTGAGAAAATTAACAAACCTGTTCTGAATATTTTAAGGTGAGGAGAGCCAGAATCACTGTCCTGGGTTTGAGTGAGTGGTGGGTTTTTTTGGGAGGGGGCTACAGGGTTGGCTCCTGTGAGAAGCTTGTAGTGGTTTGAGCCAGGTTAACAGCCAACCATCACAGATGGTCACAAGCAAAAGGCAGGCTTATTAGGGGAAGAACAAAAACCATACATTTATTACAGATACTAACAACATGTAACAAAGTAGGACAGTGAGGAGCATTGCCACATCTTGAGAACACCTTCCCCCCACCCCTCCCTTCTTCCCGGGCTCAGCTCTGCTCCCCATATCTCTACCTCCTCCCCCAGTGGCGCAGGGGCAGGGAATGGGGGGTGCAGTCAGCGCTGCTGCTGCTTCCATCTTCGGTGGGGGAAACTTCTGGAACTTGTTCCCCCTGCTCCATCGTGGTCCCCCTCTCCCAGAAGAGAGTCCTCCACAGGAGTCTCTCTGCCACGGCTGCAGCCCTTCCCAAGCTGCTCCGGCGTGGACACCCCCACATGCTGCAATCCTCCCAGTGCTGAGTTGCAGCAGCGGCATCTACTTTTTCCCACAAGACCCCAGCAGCCTTCGGGCACAGCACCTTGAGCAGCCAGGTGAAAACAAACACAGGCCACAAATCAACATCTGCTCCACTGTAGATCTTCATGGATGGCGGGGGGGGGGCTGCCCTGCCATCTCAGCACAGGATACAGGGGAGTCTCTGCTGCCGCACACCTCCCCCCCCCCCCTTCCTTTCTTCCTCTGTTCTTCCACGGACCTTGGTGTCCACGCAGCTGCCGCAGCTTCTCCTCACAAGTCCCCCGCTGCTTGTCACCATGTCCCTTTTTAAATACGTTATCGCAGAGGCGCAACTGGTTGCCTCTGTTTCCAAACATAGATGGAGCAGACTTGGAGCTGGGGGAGCTTTGAGAAGCTTCTCACAGAGGTAGCCCCCTCCCCCGCCACCAAACAAAAAACCCCATCACTCAGTCAACCCAGGACAGAGCTTCTCCAGACTCCCTCAGCTCCAAGTCAGCTCCACCTCTGCACCAAAACTGAGCCAATCAGCTGCACCTCAGTGATAACGTATTTAAGAAGGGACATGGTGACGAGCAGTCGGACTTGTGAGGAGGAGTTGCTGCAGCTGCGTGAACACCAAGGTCAGTAGAGGAGCAGAGGAAGAAAGGAGGGGGGAGGTGTGCCGGAGCAGAGACCCCCCTGTATCCTGTGGGGAGACGGCAGGGCGGCCCCCCCCCCGCCACCCATGAAGATCTACAGTGGAGCAGACACTGATTTATGGCCTGTGTTCTGCCTGGATGATCAAGGTGCTGTGCCTGAAGAAGGCCAGGGTCTTGTGGAAAAAGGTAGCCCCACTGCTGTAATTCAGCGCTGGGAGGATTGCAGCATGCGGGGGTGTCCCACACCGGAGCAGCTTGGGAAGGGCTGCAGCCTGTGGGAGGGAATCCAGTTGGAGAAAGTTGGTGTCACATGCTGGAGCAGTGTAAGGAAATGCTGCAGCCCTTGGGAGCGACTCATATCAAAGAAAACTTCTGGAGGACTCTCTTCTGGGAGAGGGGGACCATGATGGAGCAGTGGGAACAAGTTCCAGAAGTTTCCCCCACCGAAGATGGAAGCAGCAGCAGCACTGACTGCACCCCCCATTCCCTGCCCCTGCGCCACTGGGGGAGGAGGTAGAGATATGGGGAGCAGAGCTGAGCCCGGGAAGAAGGGAGGGGTGGGGGGAAGGTGTTCTCAAGATGTGGCAATGCTTCTCACTGTCCTATTTTAAGTGTTGTTGGTGTCTGTAATAGATGTATATTCTTTTTTTCTTCCCCTAAGGAGTCTGCCTTTTGCGGGTGACCATAATGGGTGATCTGCCCCTCCCTGTCCTATCTTGAATCCTAAGCCTGGCTCATTTGTCCCTTCTTACTGCTGGGAGAGAAGGGAGGAGTGAGCGGCTGGGTGGTGCTTGGCTGCCAACCAGGCCTCAAACCGTGACAATCATGAAAACGAATCTTCCTAGAGAACTTTTAAAGGATTTTGAATTAATTCTGGCTCATCTAATCATGGCTATTACTTCTAGAGTCTTCAGCAATTCTTAAAACATTTCTGGTTTTCCATCACACAGCATTGGGGAATTAATACAAGTTTTTTGTAGTGGCTTTTAACTCAAAACCACAACTGGCTTTTATACTGTGTCTGAAAAAACTGTACAGAGGTAAAATACATTTACTTGTTTTGCTCAACTTCTCTTTATTCATGCCTTAAAACACATTTTAGTAATTTATTTGCCAAGTTAATACACTGCATGAGTTTTGCAGAGGGTGGCTTTCTGAAAATGCGTTTTATCATACTTGCAGTCCAGCAAGAATCAAGAAGATGAATTGAGGAGTGAATTGAGTACAGATTTCAGTAAAAACAAGGAAAAAGATGATGGACTGACTGGGTGGGAAGTACTGCCAGTCTGCTCTGTTGAGAAAAATAATTGACATCTACTGGAAATAAGTTTAATGATATTTCTTTCTGTTTTTTAAGAGATGAAATTGGATTAATACCCTGCCCTGAAGCCAGGTATAACCGGAGTCCTATTGTCCTGGTGGAAAACAAGCTTGGTGTGGAGAGCTGGTGTGTCAAGTTTCTTTTGCCCTATGTCCACAATAAACTACTTCTCTACAGACAAAGAAAACAATGGCTGAACAAAGATGGTAAGTTACCTAGTTGGAGAATAGTATCTTATGCGATTCTGAATGCATGGGTTTTATTTATCATAGAATCATTTAGGTTGGAAGAGACCCTTAAGATCATCAAGTCCAACCATAAACCTGACACTGCCAAGTCCACCACTAAACCATGTCCCTAAGTGCCACATCTAACACATCTTTTAACTATCTCCAGGGGTGGTGATTCAACCACTTCCCTGGGCAGGTGCTTCCAATGCTTGACAACAATAAAAAAAATACCTCTTTTCAGTAAAGAAACTCTTCCTAATATCCCATCTAAACCTCCCCTGGCGCAACTTGAAGCCATTTCCTCTTGTCCTATCACTTGTTACCTGGGAAAAGAAACCAACACCCACCTTGCTACCACCTCTTTTCAGGTAGTTGTAGAGAGTGATAATGTCCCCCCTCAGCCTTCTTTTCTCCAGGCTAAACAGTTCCTATCAGCCACTCCTCATAGGACTTGTCCTCCAGACCCTTCACCAGCTTCGTTGCCCTTCTCTGGACATGTTCCAGCACCTCAGTGTCTTCCTTGTAGCGAGGGGCCCAAACCCGAACACAGTGTTCAAGTTGCAGCCTCGCCAGTGCTGAGTATGGGGCAACAGTCACTCCCCTAGTCCTGCTGGCCACACTGCTTCTGATACCAGCCAGGGTGCTATTGGCCTTCTTGGCTACCTGGGCACACTGCTGGCTCATACTCAGCCGGCTGTTGACCAACACCCCCAGGTCCTTTTCTGCCGGGAAGCTTTCCAGCCACCCTTGCCCAGGCCTGTAGCGCTGTGTGGGGTTGATCTGACCCAAGCACAGGGCCCAGCACTTGGCCTTGTTGAACCTCATACAGTTGGCCTCAGCCCATGGATCCAGCCTGTCCAGATCCCTCTGTAGAGCTGTTCTACCTTCAAGCACATCAACACTCTCACCCAACTTGGTGTTTTCTGCAAACTTACTGAGGGTGCACTTGATCCCCTCATCCAGATCATTTACCTTTTTTGATGCTACACTGGCTCTTCTAAAAGCCAGTTTAACCTGTTCTGAAAGATTTGAGTGTTTGGGGTGGGGGGGTGGGGTGGGAAAGAAGGGCAGGCCTTGGATTATGCATCTTGGCAACCTAAGCAAGTTTTAGGGTTTCCTAGCTGAAAATTTAAGTCTTTTCTCTCTTGCCCAAGCTGGAAGGGTCAGAGGGAGATGGCTTCTTTTGGTGAGTGACTTACGGAAGCGGTGTTAATCTTTATAGAAGGAATTTTGTCCTGCTTTTCCTGAGTCAGAAGGAAAACTGTGGTGGTGCGTGGATCTAAAGTAAGAAACAAGTGCAGTGTTTTTCAGATGTAGGGGGACCAGAAACCATTAGTCCATACAGCTTGGTAATTGTAAAGCTTTATTTCCTTTTTCATCTTTTTGTTTTGATTTGCATTTTAGTTTTATTTACTTTAATGAAAAATACTGTAGTATATGTTGTCTATTTTGAATTATTTTAAAGAAATATAAACAGGTGTGACATGGGAGATATTTAACTGCTTATGAAGTGTCCAACTGTGTTCAGAGTAGGAATGTAAACTGTAATTTAAGAATCTTAGATTTTTTTTGTTCATAATTTCAGGTCTCTTCTAAGTAGCAGTCAGAATAATGAATGGTCTTACTCTAGCCTTATCTTGGTCTTATTTCTAGTGCTTATTCATATTCTTTTTGAGGCTTCTTTTTTGTATCTTCTACCTGCTATGGCATTTTTCACATTTTTGTATCCCTAAAAGAGGGGTATCTTTTCTGTTGAAGAACACCACATGACCACTTACAGAGTTCAGATCTTTAGTATCTCATATGCACCTGGGTTTCAGTTTGAGGCTCTTACTCTTAACCATTTTTTATTTTTTTTCTGTTTACATGAAATTAACCTAATCCATAAATGACTGACTGTGTCACTGTGCATTAAAATTACTGTTTTGGGACTATCTTCCCCTCCTGGAACGTACCCAGCAGCTACCATCCATGGGGATGTGTTGATTGCAACTGTAGCAAAGGCAGTCTCCCTGGTAGCTTGATGAGCTAGTGAATTTAATAATTGTTTTCAACAGTGGGATGCTAGCAGACATGTGATGCAGACTCTAGCATCCAGTCATCATATAACCAACATGGTGTACCATCTTGAACAGATAGATTTTGAGAGTAGGTCTGTGTAGATTAGGAAAGGACGTTGGATTAGTAACATCTCTTTCTTGATATAACTTCCATTTGCTTTTTTCTTCTTTAATTTTTTATTACTATAGCCTGTTTCACTCTATGTGGATGAAGCCAGCTGTGTACTTATCCTCATTAAAGCATAGGGTAGGGGACAGTGAAATGGTGTTCATCAAGTCTATAAATATGTACTCAAGCTTCTTTTACATTCAGGGACAATAAGGAGAAAGAAGATTGAGGTCTTTAGTGAATCTTGGCAAGGAGGCATTCTTAAGGCAGTAAGTGTTGCCTATTTTTGTTTGCCTGAGGGCAGGATCTAGAGATGTTAAAGACTTCAGTTCCTTATTACAAACATGTGGATGTATAATGCACACATTTGGAAAGAGTAGCATTAAATGGCAGAGAGGGTTTGTAATGTGAGCATGAATGTGCTTGCCTTCTAGTGGATGAGGAGAGGTCATACATAGAAACTTTTTACCTCGTTGTGGGCTGGATCAAAGAGGAACCTGTTCCACTGGCAATATACAGTCTTCCAGTGCTGGCTGCATACCTTGAGTGGTGTTAGAGTAACAAAACACCTGCTTGATACTTGGAGTTAATTCTCCATTCATAAGAGTAGCTTAAGAAAGTTGAAGTGTTTTCATGTGTTGTTGGGTATGACTGACCTGTTGATTATATTTTTTGTCTAACATATTTTTTGTGTGTGTTCCCTTCCCACTGCCAACAGAGGGTTGATGTCATATCATTATGTGGTTGTCTAGGAAGAGTGTTTTGTGGACTTTGTAAATTCTACATTGCCCTTTTATTTTTTATTTCCACATTGCTTATTTTCTTGAATATTCTTTCTCATCACAGACATCTTTAAAAGACTTTTATTCCTAGAGGATGTGTATTTCTAACATAAGTAACTTCCATTTCTTTCTTTGTGGTTTATGGTTGGACCTAGTAAGACCTGGATCTTTTTGATAGCTGCCACCAAGTTGCTGCTGATCATAGTTATCATAGAAACCATTGATTGTGATCTGATTGCAAATTCAGAATTTATAATGCAGACGATTATAAAACTCAAAAAAAAGAGCTTTAATATAAGGAATTTAAGTAATGTTGACTCTGACATGTAGCAAGAAACAGATTTTAGACTTTAAAGAGATGAACCTGCTAGCACAGGCAGTCTCAGCAAGACCAGTGGTTCTCACTGCAGTGCTTTTCTCACGTCTGAAGTAGGAGTTTGTGAGGTGTGTTTTGATTATGCTGCAGATCTTCAGCAGATAGACTTCATTTCTATCTCAAGTGTTACAGAAAAGTCCTTCCGTAGAAATGGCCACACAGACAAAAACTTGTTTTTTCAAGCTGAAATACAAACCACTGAGATTTTGTCACTCTTGCGTTGGGAGGCTGGAGACTGCTGGTTCCTGTTAGCTGCAGGGCAGCTGGGTGCTGAGGTGCTGGCACCCTGCTCCGCTCACACCAGCCCACATGCTTTGTCGCGGTGGCAGGCACACACCTGTTCTGCCAGGATGGAGCAGTGAGCCCACTGCTCGGAGAGCATCTCTGCTTCCTGCCCAGGCAAAGCCTTGCAGAACCCTTCCTCTCAAAATGCAGATCATAAAACTGTGTTGGTAAATACTGGAGTGACATGAAGTTTGGATTACTGCCTGTTTGTTGGAACTTGTTTGGTTTTCTTCTTTGGAAAATGAAACTCCATTATCCTTTGCTTATTCAATTACAAAAGTCAGTTTAAAATGTGTGAGAAGAGTTGATCTACAGCATTTTCATGTCTGTTGTGGTTTTGTGTCACTACTGTAAAACACGCTCCATGTTAATAACCTGTTTGTAATGCAAGGTACAGCTCATAGAGTTTGGTATGTTTTACCATATTTGAGTTTCACATCTGATAGGGAAATTTAGCAGAAACTGAACTGCAGTGGTGGTGGAAATGAAGGTAGAAGTCTTTCCCAGGTGGACTTCCAGAATTGTCTCTAGTGTGGTGTAAGTAGGCATACTTGGTCAAGAAATGTTACTTTTTCTCTATGGTTAAATTATACTTGGGGATTTTCCTCCAAATTCATTTTTGTAGAGAAAAGCACATGCTTAGAATTTGGCAAGGTAGTTGTTTCCTTCTGAATGTAGTGAAGTGATAGATTTGTTTATTACTGCTGCAAAACTCAGTTACATGTTCTATTGATGCTTGTAATGAATGGTGATTTGTAAACATATTCTCTTGTTACCTCTTTAATGTCTTTTGAATTGCTGTAAGCTATTTTAAATATAACAGAAGAAAAACAGGGTGCTGATTCAAGTGTCTGCTTTCAGATGTGGTGTCTGATATTTTTCTGGCAGAATCCTGGAAGAAGGAAGTGCTTTATAGTCAGTTATTGTTAGCTTACTGTAACAGGTGTTTAATTTAATTATGGTTTCTTCTGGATAGTTGGAATCCAGAATTGTGACTACTTCTCTTATTGCTATTGTTCCAGTTTAGAAATCCTAATTTTACAATGTTTTTATCCTTTCTCCAATATTTTTCAATACATGCGTGCATATTGTTTGTATTATCACAAGGTGGTTCTCTGAAATTGCTATACATTTGTCTTTTCATGCAAAGTATTGTTGTGCATACTCCCAGAATATCCTTACTTCGCATAAATCTGTGTTTCCACTTTTACAATAGTCCTCTGAAAAGTACATCTTAGAGTGATACACTTACAAAAATAAAAATCTGGATACAGCCGTATTTAAAAAGAAAATGAGCTAAAAACATATTGTCATATTTGTACTTTCGCAGCTGGGGAGACTTACATGTACAAAAGGACACATACATTGTGAGCACCCATAATGCTATAGTTTGCTTTAAATGTATCCAGCAGAAATTACTTTTACATTTTAAATAAAAGACATCGGTTTTTGTTACTGACACTGAGGGAACTAGCTGGCAACTACAATCATGTGCCAGATCTGTCAAAAGACTTTATTGAAAAATGGCTCAGAGGTTACTAAAATTGTCATTTGACATCTCTGACTCTGAATCCACACTTCATGAGGTCTTCATCTGTTACTTGCTGCAAAAAGCATCAAAGAACGTCAACATGAAAGAACTGGGCATCACTTTGAAATTTTCCTTTTGTCTGCTGCTTTCCTTTGATAATGTTCAGGTTATAGTGAACCTCTGTTGAGGGAAAATGGACGAAATAAATGGTAGACAGATTTCTGTTTAAGTTAGGCTCAATTTGGCGCTGTTTCCAGACCTTTGACATTACCCAAAGAGTCATGTTAACTGGAAATCATGACTTAGTAGGATGAACAAACTGTATTGTTCAAAGTGGAGTCATGTAGTCTATGAAAACCATTTCTAAAAAGCAGTCAAAAGACTGAACTAGGCTGTAATAGACTTTTGCTGAACATGTCTTGTCAACCATAGCATGTACAGTGGTAGCATCTAATATTTACTAAAACTATTATTGTATTTAGAGAATCCAACACTCAAAATTTCAGAATTTTTTATGACTTAATTCAGAACTGCTTCTATTCTTTCTTAGTCGCAACATTTTGCTGCGTCTCTACGTTTCTTCTTGTCCTGCACTGCACAGTTTCATTTACCTTTCCCTCCTATAGCAAACACCTTTCCCTTCTGTAACAGTTGAAGAAATCCTGCAGACATCTCCTTTACTGCACAGTGCTGTTGCATCGATACTTACATGGTTGAGCACTGGAGCCTTTAGTTGCAGCCCATTGACCTACAGCAAAGTGATAAGCAGCGGAAAATAAAGTTGACCCCAGGAAGTGTCAATCAACCTAGATTTGGGGCACTGAACTCTTCATAATGTGTTATAAAACTATTAAGCCAGTGATTTGCTGGCAGTCTAGATTAAATATAACTTAAAGCAAATTTAAAATATGTGACTCTTCTGTCTTGGGGAGAAGGAAGTATTAAAGTCCTTTTTTGTTTGGAGCTTTTTTGGGGTTTGGTGGGTTTCTTTTTGTTTTTGTTTTTTTTTTTTTTTTGTTTGTTTGTTTCTGTAGATAATCACCAGTTGGAGAGAAGTTGGCTGGATGGGGTAAGAATAAGAATGCAATTAACCAAGTAAAGGTATTTAGCCTTGTTTGTGTTAGCAACAAAGCTTGTAGTCCTTGATTTTTATTTTTTTTTTGTAATTTTTTTTTCCCTTGAAGAATCTATTAGTTGCCAGGTAGTAAGTACTATGGATCTGATGTACCTAAGATTTATGTTACCTTGGAAAAGTTATTAGCTATTGCCCTATTGCATTTTGAAAGGCAATTTGTATGTATTGTTTATGACATGAGGTAATAATAGCAGACTAATCAGAGCATTTAATTATGTATATTCATAATATGTAAAATTGAGTTATTTTAAAAATATCGAATAACTACTAATATTTTGAGAAGATAAACCAGAAAATCTACATGAAACAGAGGGCAGCTCACGATTTTAACTGTAGGACCTTATAAAACTGGGTTTTTGTGAAGTGTTGCCAATGTAGCTAGCAAAACACTTAGTAGGTGTTTTTTACGTATGCAGGTAATCTTGGATATTTCAGTTGGGCAGTTCATCTGTCTAAAAATAAATAGGTGTTCAAGTACTTTGCTAGTTCAGGGATTGGGCAAGTCAAAGAAAAAGCTTTGTGCATTTAGGCAGCAAATTAGGAAGAAGCTTTGCACGTATGAGAAATATGAATTCCCTGGCAACAAAGAGGGGTTTAAAAGGGAAACTTTCATTAAAGGGGGAAAAAAAAAAGCCCTACCCTCAACTAAAACTCATGAAAATAGAAAGTTAAAGTAATTCCTTGAGGCAATTTTTAAAATATCACCATAGCAGCATAGAGCAAAATCAAGAGTACATTAAAGAATTTTTTTTTTCTATCCCTGACATTATATGGTGTCATAACATGTTCCTCATAAGCGGCAGCGTCATGGGAAACATAAAATTACTCTGTTGGACATAAATGAATGAGCAGTCATACAGTGTTATACAAAGTTATTCTACTTTTTATCCTACTTAAACGTTAACTTCTCTCAAAGTCTTGGTTCAAAGATACATGAAGTCATTGTCCTTTGCATTTTGAATTAATGTGCTCCATTATTGTTGCATTTCATTACTGACTTTTTAAAATTTAATTTTACAGTCATATTGACTGAACTAACCAGAGATACAGTTTCATGAGACCCCTTCTTTTTCCTTTTCCTTTTTTTCCTTAAAAAGTAATAAAGTGCCTCTTATTTCCTGGAAATCACCTGGAGTACAATCTATTTAGTATGTTAAATTCAGGTTTATCAGGAGAGAATGTAGCCAAACTTTCTTGGCAGCAAAAGCCTGAATAGTCTCGTTCAGTTTTGATACAAGATGATTCTTCTTACTCAGTTGCAAAATTGCCATGTAAATTTAGGAAGTATGATTGCAGGACAGGCTGACTGGTCTGATGCTCTGTCTCTTGAGAGCAGAGGTTAAGGGAGCCAATGCAGTGACAGTCCTTGGTACATCAAGCTTAAGTGGAGGTGCATCACCAGTCCCCACTGCCCCACGATGCCCACTGCTACCCTGGTGGGACCCAGAGCGGCTTAAATGGTGCACTGGAGTGTAAAGGGAAAGGGAGAGACAAGATTACAATGAAATTACTCTTCCATTCTCAGCCCTGGTTTTATGACATTGGTAAAAATAAGTGTAATATGTAAATCTACAGTCTGTGTAGTGCTTAAACAGTGATGCAAGCCAATGTTCTGTTTGTTCATTTTTTTAGTGAATTAGTCTTAAAACATTGGTCTGAAGCAAGGCTGTCATTTCTGAATGTATTTAAAGTGGTTCTTGTGCAGTTAGATGGTAGAGTTAGTTTGTGATCCTAATTCATGGTTCTGGTGTCCTATTTTCCTAGCTACAGGTTATTTATAGTATGAGTGTTTTTTGTAACAGTGTAGTGTATGGCAGCCACCTGCAGCTCAGACTTGTACTGAAATAGTAGGGTATATTTTTAATGGTGCTATCTTATTTCAAAGTTGTTGGATTTTCTTTGAATAATTCTCTGTTTATGGTATGTACAGTGTGTCTGCAATTTAAATCACTGAATGCTCAAGGATTCTATGTAATGGCTGTCCTTTGCTGAGGGCATACTGTATGTTTGGTTATAGCAGTACAGATAGAGGTCAGAAATTTCCAGGTGCAAACTTCTTAGATGTGAGTTGTTAGCAAGACAGAGATCCGTTATTTTAAATAATGAAAGGGGAGAATGTGGCAGATTTTGCTCCCTTTTAAATTAAGCTAGTGTTTCTTCTGGAATGAGTTGGAGCAGTGTTTTGCAGAGGTGGGCATCTGTAGGGACAGCCTGCAGAGGAGGGACAGGGAGTGAGGGAGTGCAGAGAGAATGCTGCTGTGTGTGAATCATTACTAATCTTTGTGTCTCTTGTTCACTCTGTTTAGAGCTGATAGATATCACGTGTACCCTGCTGCTGCTGAATCCTGACTTCACCACTGCTTGGAATGTGAGGTATGTTGCACTCAGTGAAGACAGGAAGACCTGAGCCTTATATTTGAGTCAGCTCTAAGCTTTGTTTTAAGTGGTAATTAGTGACACAGCAAGAGCTTTTCAATTGAGGATTGCTGAAGGAATGTTGAAAATCTCTTCTATCTTGCAGATAGTTTCAGACTGCCTTTTTTTTTCTTCCTTTTTTTTTCTGTAGTATGGGCTAAAGATGACACTGCTGCATGTGAAGGCATGTGTTTGGCCCACATTTTGGGGGATATAGGTCCCATTGAACTGCCACTCGTCTTTCCATCTGTCAGTTAAGGAAGGCCACTTCTACCTTTAGATGGGCATATCCTTTTTGCTGATCACGTAGTGCCCAGCTGATGTCTGCTGTTTCTCTTCACTGTTTTTATTTTATCCCTCTTTGAATATTATACCCGAGTTCTTTCGAAATAACAGTTCAATTTGCTGCCATTACCAGTGCAGTTCATCAAAGCTGAATAGCCCTCAATAGATACCCTGCAAGAGAAGAAGAGGAAGACGGCTGATCTTTTGGCCAGACCCGTTCTCCCACACCCTTCTCCTTTCTTGTACCTGCTGAGATTAGTCTGGCTTCACCGTTGGTCATGCTGCAGCACCTGTCCAGGACTCATTATGGAGAAAGAACAGGAATTTACCTCCTTGCCCCTAATGCAGCCCAGAAGTAACAGTTCTTTAAAACCCTGTGATCTGATAGTTTTTGTGTAAATCTCAGAGGTGAGAGAATACTCTCTTTCTGCTGCCTAGGCCAGAATGGAGACAGTCTTAAAGGAATGGCTTTAGAAGGGCTGGAGGGCTGACAGAAAATTATTTGTTACTGTTTAGGAGGACTATCATTAAAAACAGGATTTTGGTAGTTAAGATGCATTACTGCAATAGAAAATATTAACAAAATGACCTAGAAAGATGATGGCTGCAGGTAGCCATCAGCTCTAGGTACAGCAAATTCAGCTTTTGCTTTTTCTTCTTTCTTTTCACTGCTGGTGTAGTTCTGAAGGATTCTGCTTTGATCTGTATCTTTCTAGCTTTTCAGGTCTTAGAAAGGGGGATAAAAGTTATAGCAAAGGACTTAGTGTTATGAAAATATACAGCTTGAGTCTCTTTCAAGTGATAAAGTGGAATTAAGAGCATGTGTAAGTACTAGAGCTACTACAGTAACTTGTGGTACTTAAAACTGAATTCAGGTTTTCGTTTCGACATTTTTAGAATTTTTTTTAATGCAAACGCATCCATGCTTCACAATCTGGCTTTTTTTCTGCCTGACAGCTGTAAGACTTTGCTTTTATGTATGAGAGTAGGTCAAAGTTGTAAATGGAGTTAAAATGTTAAGAAATATGGATGAGGATTGTTATCTCTTTTAATGAAGTTTATGGTTTACCAAAATATACCAATTACTATAGAAGGTGGCCTTGCTCCTTCGATTCTTGGTGGTCTGTCTTTGAAGCTCTGTTTAGCATTCAGGGAGAAGCTGTTGTTGTACCAGCCAGTCAGTAGCTGTGGAGTTTACTGCCGAGCCTATTCTAGCCAAGGGACTGCTTTGCTGAATCTGACCCTGCTTTGTTTTAGGCTGCTGCTGAGAGCTTGCCCTTTTGAAGGGTGGGCACAGCATTTGAGCTTCTATTCAGTAAATTACAGGTCAAGCTGGCCAGATGAGTAGCATATACAATCACAGAGTAGAGGACAGACTGTGTTCTGCACAGATGCTGGAGCTAAATCCTTATTCTGAGCTAGGATAAACTGGGAAATAATTGTGTGGGACTTGTACTCTGCTTGCAGAGCATGATGGGTCTGCTGTGGGATGATTGTTTTCATCTTGCTCAGAGGATGTTTGTGGTGCCAGATTCATCTTACGTTCTCCACACACAAATTCACTGCTTTATTTTAAGGGAAGAAAGCACCACAGACTAAGTAGCCTAAGTAAAAAGTGTAATAGTTATTTACTGAATAGCAGCCCTGCACATAGTGTTTCTTGTAGAATTTAATGACTCTCTCATTTTAGGCTGGGATAAGCCCTTTTTCCTATGTTTAATTCTCTGAGAGCTTCAGAGATTGTAGTTGACTCAACAGCACTGAATTTGAAGATACTGGAATAGGGTTGTTTGAGAGTGGGAAGAGGAAATCTCTTCCTTGAAAAGGAGACAGGACTTGGCAGAGCAGGAAGACTGGAGTGGCAGTGTGGAAAACTAATGAGCACTAATGAGCATTTCAGCTCAGCTGACAATCATAGAAGGTTGTATCTGCTTAATGAAGCACCAGAGAGCATAAAACTTCAAATGTGTTACCTGCTAGGAAGGGGTAGATGATCTCTCTTGACTTTGGAGCTATTCTAAACAATTGTAATATGCCTGTATAGGTTTGTCATTTATTTATTTTAATTAAAAGTGACTGGGAAGCTACAGAACAGCAGGGACTATAACCTAAACCATGATAACTTAGCGAGAGCTAACTGTATGGTGTGTAGGAAGGCATGCTAAAGAATAGGAGACCTGTTGCTTTGTAGAACTCAGAGAGAAATCCCTGTTACACTGAATGGGCAACAAGACATCTCCAATTCTTAATCATAATTTCAGGTATCCTGTGCTTTTAGAAGTTGAAAAATCTTTCAAGTTAAAATGACCAAAGTCTTTATGTAAGTGATTGTAAAAAATTGTCATAGATGGTTTTGTTCTTGCTGATAGACTTGCTGGCACGTACAATTGATTGAAAGTGAAAAGACATTAAGTAACAAGATGGTCTGAAAAGTAAAACTTTTTCAGATATCAGTGACTTCGGAGGTGTCAACAACAACATAAGGCAAGTCAAAATAATGTGAGATTTGTCTTTTATGGGAGCTGGAATTCTGAAGGCTGAAAAGTTATCTGTGGTCCACATGGCAAAAAAAAAAAAAAGCTAGGAATTACATATCCCAAGTTGAATGTTTGCTGAAAGAGCTTGAAAGATGTTTGTTTGGGAGTACATGATACTTAGTCATACTTGTGATTGAAGTCCCTTACTTGTCAATGGAAGGATCTCTCATTTGAAAAATCTGTGAAGCTAAAAACTGCTTTTCTACCACAGCAGTGAAAGTTGTCTGTAATATTCCTCAACTTGGCAAAGGAATAAATTTACTATAAGTAAATATGTGTGAATCTATTTATTTACAGTTAATGCTTTAATATAGAAAGATCAATTTCTTCACCAAGAGTTTGGGTTTGGGACGTAGATGTCCTGTTAATCTAAATCTTTGTTAAATATGTACGTGCTTTTATTTTGAGCGTCAGACTGATCTAGGCTGCTTTTTCATTGTCCACATGGTAAGTGATTTCTACCAAAATGTCAACTTTTGCGTGGCAGTAATGGGGCAATTGTTCCACCTGCTCCAGTGTTGACATTCCCTGAATCTTTCTCTTGTCTCCTTTGCAAAAGTCAGGGCACTGGCGCCAAACAGTCTGGTCAATCTGCTGCTCTTGGCTGCTATACCTGGATTTCCTGTTGAGCACCTGCTAAAAACATCCAATCTGAACCATGATGGAACTTGATTCAGATAAAACCAAATGTCCCAGTAGCAGTGTTTCTGATCTCTGCAGACATCTTCTGAGTTCACTAGATACCAGGAACAGAACTTCCTTAGAGATTTATTCAACTGTTGCTACAGTAGCCAAAAGAAGAGTCTAGGCTAGTGCCTAGATGTATACGTCTTGGCGTTTTTCCCGAATTTGAAATATGTTGCTTGCTGTTATTGTTGCCACCAGTAGCTTCTGACTGTGGTTGTACACTTTAATTAAAGCAACACAAAGCCAATGTACCAGGTGGAGCCAGTTTCCTACTGAAAACTTCCAAAGCAGACAGAAAATTACAGTAAGTGCCCACACTAAAGGAATATGTTTATTTATGAGGCTTTATATAACTTTAAAATGACATTATGTGTTCTGTGTCAGACTGCAGAGAAGTTTTACCTTCTTACTGGATAGCAGCTTTTTTCAGAGTGTATTTCCTTCCTGTCCCCTTCCTTCCTTCAGCCCGTTTTTTTTTTTTTTTTTTTTCCTTTTGGGCCAAAAATTGATGAACTGCTCTTCATCTACTAGTGCTCCTCTTGCTGAACCTGGTGCTATGGTATCATTATGATGAACAATAAACTATTAAAAAGCAAACCAAAAAAACTAAACAAAAACCTTGGCAACACAAAACACAAAGCCCATTCCAAAACTGCTTCTACTTCTTGCACTCTCAGTTTTTAATTATGACTTCTGGAAGTTCTGGGAAATACAAGTTTCCTGTCTGCAAATGGTAACTTTGGAACTTGCTGTATCTTTACTTCAAAGTCACTATCTACTAGGTTGGAGAATAGGATATGGAGGCTAAGGTACTGGGAGTAGCTGGTGATGGGGTGATGCCTACAAACTTGCTCGGTGTGGGCAGTAAAAATTGTAAAGCTAGAAAGAAGAATAAGGTGTGGGGTGGGGAATTCTGTGCAAAGAAGGCAAGAAGCATTAAAAACAGACTTTCACTTTGCTCTGTCTGTGTTGGAGGTGTGCTGGGAAGGGTTACATTGAACAAACATTAAGTTTTGTTAGGGCAAGTTGTTTTTTTAAACAAAAAGTTATTTTACATGTAAATAAACTTAGCAATTTCAGCCTTTCTGTTAAGTTTGAAAAACATTCTACACACACAGAATATTCCCCACTTCTTTCTATGTGTGGGGGTGTGGAGGCTGTGTGGAAGATTAACTGTATTTTCAGATATATAGAATGATCTAAGGACTTAATTTCCAGAAGGAATGTTTAGTCCTATATGTAGCCCTATTGGCAGCCCTTGTATCAAAGAAAAAAAAACAGAACTACTTTTGTTATTAAGATGCTTTTAGAATGTGCAGATAAAAGCAAGGTTATTCTCAACAGGCATTACATATAGCCCAAACTCCTCGGCTTTCTGACTAGTAACAAAAAATGTGATGGAGAGCCACACTCAAATAGTTGATTCAGTGATTTTTAGGTAGATTTGGGAACCAGTAGGTTGTATGTGTTCAGATTAAGATTTATTTTATTGGGCCTGGCTGAACAGGGTGTGTATGTATATAGCAGAGTGGAATGGGTTAATCCACCAGAGGCTTTTTAAACTCATGTCTTTTGACAGTGAAGTTCCATTATGATACAGGGGAAATGCTGTGCTATTTGTAACTGGGATTTGTGTTCTGTTTTCAGGTTACTTATCTTATTCATACAAATTTATTTTATCTTTTGTAGGAAAGAATTAATACTGTCTGGCACTTTAAATCCACTTAAAGATTTGCATCTTGGAAAACTGGCGTTAACCAAGTTTCCAAAGAGTCCAGAAACATGGATTCATAGGTTTGTTTCCCTTGCCTTCTGTTGCCTCCCCAAACTTAAACATTTTCCCTAGAGTTTTTTTCCCTGTGCTTGGGTTAAGGAAAGCCATAGATGAAGGAGGATATCTGAAAATACAGCAGATTCTTTGAACCAGTCACTGTAAAATGTCTTTTGAAGAAACATGCTTATACTTCACACTTAGAACTAAAATCACGTGCACCTTTTTTGCTGCATATTTTTTTAGTAAACTTTGGAGGTGGGATAACTTTTCCTAAAGGCTTATCATGTCTTGCAGCACCTAAAATTCTCAGCCTGAGAATTCTGATTCCGTCAATAGTAAGTATTCAAGCATTGTGGGTTTCTCCCTCTTTCCCTCCTCCAACTTACTGCTATATTGTTTGTCTACAGGCGTTTCAGAAAGACAAGGATCTGTAAAAGCTAATCTTTATAACCAAAGTTGGGTTCTTTTCCATTCCAGTACTGGTCTTTTTGGTTTGGTGAATTTATTTTTATGATTTCTAATTTAAACAATGTTATTAAGTCACCACTACTAAATACTAACATAACAGAGCACATTTCTGGAAAAGACAACTGCAGAATTACTCAAACACACGAAGCTAACCATCTCAGCCATGACTGAGTGTACATAAAATGCCTGTAGCATGGCCAAGTGAAGTATAGATCCATTGCTTAACTGTCTTTAAAACAAACAAACAACAGAAGAAACCTTGGGGGTTGTGTGTGTGTTTGTTTTCATGATGTATTTTTCACAGGATAACTCATCTTCTTATATAAGGAGATTTGAATGTAACACATTAGAAAGCAATTTGCAATGTTTGTTTCACATGTTCACCATTAGGACAACTGTAAAGTTGATACTCCATTAGGGGGTTCATATTCTATCAAAAACATAGAGAGCACCAGTCATCCTGATAACATCTGAATTTTTGGAAGAGGGAGTTGCTGGTAAACTCTTCATTGTGATTGCATGAGATTAAAATTCTCAAAGTTAACGTAGAATACATGGAATATTCCTAGGTGTCTCTTAACACATATTCATCTACCTAATTTCTGCTAATTTCTTTCATAGTAGCATTGATATAACAACAGTAGTGATGAATTTCTGCAGTGTTGGCTTTTAATTTTGTTGTTGTTCAACTGCTTTTCATCATATTCATGCTACTGACTCATACTGCTTGATTGCTTTGTTTGAAGCAAAAGGAGCATATAGAAACAATGGGAGAAAATCTTGCAGTGTGTCATGGTTTAGCCTTTATAAGGTAGCTAACACTGGAAAACTATGATTTTTTTTTTTGCATGTAACTAGTACTGAACCTGGTGCCATCTATATCATTGTGATGATCAATAAATTTTTATTAAATTAGTCAAAATGGGAGGTTATTAATATTTATTTGCATCATAGAAATAATGAAAAATTTTGTCTATAACTTCTGTGCAATCTTAAATTAGGAGTATTTTAATAGTGTTGTTATTTGTGGTTCCTTTTCATATCTGCCTAAACCAGAAAAGTGTATTTGAGGATGATTGTACAAATGTTTGGGTTGGATTTGGATGTGCTGACTGTGATTGATACATGTTAGAAAAATAAGATGTGCAAAAGTTCTCTTTCTGTATCGGCATAGCAATTAACCTTGTGTTTTCTGTTCCCCCATGGTACTGAATTTCAGGCAGAAGTGCAAGAATGGAGTAATTACAAAATTCAATAAAACATACCCAATTTCTTTTTTCTTACACACGCAGATACACTCACTAAAGATATCAAAATACCTGTCATACATTTTACCATATGGCCTTTTGCTATAGGTTTTGGGGGTTTTCAGATCTTGTGTGTATACAGTCAGTATATCTACTGATTGCGCTGTTGTCACTGAATAATCTTGTGTTCATTTGCGGTAATTCCAGGAACTGTAATAATAATAGGAACATGCATACAGTAATTAAAGAAATAGGATTTATTTTCTCCAAATGTACTTATCTTAAAAACCTCCAAAATAATACCATGACATTCAACAGGTACCAAAAATACATTTAAATTTTTTGAGGTTGTGCTTGTCTTTCCTCCCATACAAGAAGTCTAGAAAGTAGTTTGGATTTAACTTTATAATTTTTTCTTTTGTTGTAGTCACAGAGACTGTAATGTCTGTATTTTTTTTTCACATATTCCTGTATATATATCTTATCGGAATTCCTTATTTTGTGAAAAAAACCTCATTTTAAGAAACTGAAATAATTTTAGGACCAAAATAATTTGTCTTTTTAAGGTTTTTCTCAGAAGGCAATGTTAATGAAATAATATTTCTCTTTTGTTAAAGGAATGACACTTTACTCATTTAGCTTTCATGCCTAGACATTTTTAGAATTTCCCATTTCTTGCTAATCTGCTGAAATAAAAAACAGTAGATAGTAATGTTTGGATTAAAGATGTTTTTAAAAAACCCAAAAATGAAGTCATCAAAATTACTACATTTTGTAAAATAAAGTTACATGACAAAGATCATGGTTTGTTGGCTTGTTTGGCTGTACATCTTTAGTTAAAACAAATGTTATATAGGAAGCTAGTGTATGAACCCTGGCTTCAATCCACTGCTTGTGATTTCTGTTGAGAAATGCAGTCAGTTTAAAGATTGTATTCCTATAAATTTTGTTTAATATTGTCTTCCAATAGTTGTTTTTGAAAAAGATTTAAACTAAGAGAAAAAGACATAATGTAAATAAAAAATACCAATAAACAGGAATATGATAAATGTTTTCAAATGATAGAAAAAGCAGATGGATTACCAACTATTTTTATTAACAGTGATTAGCTTATCTGTTTTTTATTTTTTAAATATATAAGTATGTATATATATGCAACTTTATATATGAATTGCAAAATAGAAGTATCATTTTAAAGAAAATAAATTTATTTTGTTTTATTTATTGATTTATTTTAACCAGGATTGATGCCTTTCTGAAAGTAGTAAATAATTGGTTCTGGAAGCAGTGTGAGACAATACAAAACAGAGACACCTCTGTCTCAGACCAGAGGATGTCTGGCTTTCCAGAGCATAAGCCCACTTCAATTCTCTTTTTGTAGGACCCTTTTGTGTAGGGTCTGCAGATGTACATTTTCTGCAATATTGAGGACAGCTCTCAAAGTACTCATCTAAAAATACTACTAAAATACTACTAAAAGTCATTCTAAAGTAAAATTTAAAAACCATGTAGGAGTCTGTGCGTATCTCAGTCACTTCGAATCAAATATGTATAGTTCAGGAGTGAAACCACTTGTTTTTGTTATACCTGTAGCCCTTGAAACCGTAAGTCTTTTACACTTTCTTTCTGTTGGTTGTATACAGAAACTAATTTGGCTTGCTGTGTGCAGTACTGACAAATGTAAAGAATGCTCACAAAGCACAGTTAAATTTTTTTTTACTGAATCACTGTTTTGTCTCATTAGAAATCTCATGCACAGTTCTGGCATTTTTTTTTTTTTTCATAAATTTGCTGTTTCCTTCGATTTTCTTTTAGAATGCTGTAAGTAGCCATGACCACTTTGAGTGAACAAATACAGCTAGAGTTAAATTATTTTGAAGCGTGATCATAGTCACAGCTTTCAGTATGGAAAGAGTTCAGATGGTTGTGTTTACCACTTATTCATCATCTAGTCCTGGTGTAGTTCAGATAATTGAAATGTCAGAAAGGTTTGATTTATTTATATAAATGTAAAAACATTTTTTTTCTCTTAAAATTACTCTCTTACCATTAACACTGTACATCGTTTAACCAGACGGTGGGTGCTGCAACAACTAATTCAGGAAAACTCCTTGCCCAGTCTTGTGACTAAAGGAAACTTGGGAGCAGCACCTGTGGAGAGAATTCACCGACTAGTGCAGGAGGAAATGTGTGTCTGCTCTGAAGCTGCTGGGAGATATCCAAGCAACTACAATGCCTGGTCCCATCGCATCTGGGTTTTACAGCGTTTGGGAAAGCTGACTGTCAAGGTATAATACAATAGTGAATAAAGTCTTAAATTTCCTTGTCTGAAAAAAAAAAAATACTGGTTTGCCAAGCAGATCCTATGACATGAATGGAGAGTATCAATTTGGCACAGGTAGCTAAGAATGTTTTTGAAAATGGGCAAAATATTGCAATGAGTATGTTTTGCATTTTTCTTGCCAATGTAGGCAGGTTGTGCTCAGCGGAAAGAACAGATTTTTCTTGCCTATGTACAAAGTTCTATTTGTTGTTACTTCATGTTAATGAAATTGAGCAGGAGCATAGGTGGCACTGTATGAGCTGAAATAAAGAAGGTGCAACTGAAAATAATTCTTCCAGCACTAATCTTTAAGTTCCTAAAAGAGAAAAAAGATAATACATGGCAGATACTGTTTTGATAATATAGCGTGATGGCTTGTTTTGATACTCTTATTCAGCTTATTTGTGGTTTCAAGGTATTGAAGGACAAAGCAAAGACAGCAAGAACTTCAGAGAAAGTGTAATAGTGCTTGTAACTAGTTTCTTCAGCTCCAACAGCACCTTACTGACAGCATTTAAACTGAGAGCTGATTAAGATGTTTCAGCTTCAGCAGGGACATCTTATGCAGCGCTGAATGTTTCAGATCACATGGTAGGTACTATCTAAAATATTGAGACCTCCAGCAAATTGAATTACTTAATGTGACACAATACAAAATTATCTCGGAGTTTTGTAATACTGTGGTTTCTAAGCTGTTAGGTGAATTCCTTGTGAATATTAGACTGATAAAGTGACACATCACTCACACTTCTAACAGCAGCTGCTGCATTTTGCCATCCTGTACACAGGGGACTGAGGGAGGAATTTAGTGAAGGTGGTTGAGTCAGTATAGCTGTTCCTTTTATTTCTTACGGGCCAGCTACTGCTAGCAATGGATGTGGTTTTGCTGATGTTTCCTCTTGTTACATGAGGAAGTTTCAAAATAGCTGTATCAGAGTGGTAGTAAATAGCAAGTATGTTGCAGACTCTGTGAGGGAGACAGCTCAAAATGTGGACTCCTCTGCCCAGAAAGTTTGTGTGAAGAGGTGACAATATGGAAAACTCTGAAGAATTACAGGATTGGGATAGATTGGAGTTTAGAAGTTAGGGTTAGAGGTCAGTATTAATAGGAAACAGGGACTTTCAAGTAAGTTTTTAATAGCTTTATTAAAAAGAGGGGGGGTGGAAAATAGCACTGTTAATTAAAATTAACTTGAGTAATTTTATGCTTTGGTTAACAGTAGTTTCAAGATCAGCATAACACCCTGAGTGCTTTTTGCACTTGCTATTCCTTACTAACTTAAATAAACAGAAAGAATGTCATTGTGTTAGAAATAACTCTTCTCAGAGCTGGGATTATTCTGGTGGGTTTGTTCGTTGGCAGTTGTCAGTGTTTTGTGTGGCAAGTCACAAGCATGCCTGTGAAGGAATTGTTTTAAATTTGTTCAATCACTTCCAAGTCCATTTGCCTTGCATGCCATCCCAGTTCCCCTACTGTATGTCTTCTTTTTAGGCTGATTACTAAGGAAGTGACAGTTTTCTCTAGTTTTGTCCAACTGGCTATTACCTCTGGCAAAATTTCACTGGTGCTGCTGTTCTTTGAGCAGTGTGTTTAACCTGTTGGGAAATCTCCATGTGGACTCTAGGTTTTTTTTTTTCATGATACCACCAATGCATCTCTTCACATGGTCTGGCAGAAGGTGTTTGGGATGCAGGAAGATTAGGAAAAAGCATGTAACATAAAAGATACTGTGATTCTTGAGATAAAATTTGTGTCTAGCTAACTTTAACAGGCAGAATTAGAAACTGGTTATTTGCCAGATGTGATGTGAGGAAAAAAGCAAATGGCAAGGAGGGCAGGGAAAAAGCAAACATTACAGATTTTCACAAAAATATACAGGTGGTTTTCTTGCTTGATGTCTCATTTTGTACCCTCCTCCATTTGTGTGCTTGAATATCAGAAAAGAAAGGTAAATTCCACTGAGATGTAAAACGGGAACTGTGATGAAAAAATTAGCAGATAACACAGTCACTGATTCCACAGCCATTTAGTTCTTACAATGTTACCCCAAAGTACCCTGTATTATTCAGGGCCGCATTTCTGCTATAATACAAGCTGTGTTTAGTTTGAAGTAGTTTTCCTTACGAAGTACAAGGAGACAGAGGCCCAGAAACAATGTATACATTGTATTATCACTGCAATAAGACTTCTCTAAATGGGTTTATAATTTATGAGAATGTTGGCATGCTTTCGAGGATTTGAGGGGGTAGGTTTTTTGGTAGGGTTTGGGGTTTTTTTCATTTGGTGTCGTAGGCCTAATGCTTCTGCAGACAGAATCTCAGTTTGAAACCTGGGAAAAAGATATAAAATATTAGAGGAGAAAGTTTTAGTCCTGTAGGAAGATTTTCTGACAGAATATAGATGTTTCTTCTTATTTATACTAGAGAGTAAGAAACATTATCTTGTTTGAATATAGAAGTCTGTTTTTCCTGCAGGATTTGAACCACATTAGTAAGTTTACATAGTGTTTGTATAGTGTTCCTTAATATCTGTTTGAGGATTTGTCAAGAACAGATTATTCCAAAGCAATCTAATCTTTCTAGTAATGGAATACCTGCCTCGGAAAAGAATGAGAAAGCTTGACTTTGGATTTCTCACATGACAGTACTGTTAGCTAATGGGGGGGAAAAGATGGGCTCCAGACACCTACTCATAGGTGGGTGCATGATTAGTTAGAGAACCAGATTAAGAGAGTAGTATTGGTATAGTCTGTTAAAATTCATACGTATCATGGTGCTTCCGAGAAATTGTGCCGGTAGAAAACTAGGATGTAGTTCATCAAGGATGGACAAACTTCCCTGTTCTCTTTAGACAGGAGTACTCAGCTTCATGGTTGCGGGATGGAGAGTGAATGATCAGGCCCTACAATAAAAAAACAAGCAAAGAAACAAGAGGTGGGGCAATTGTCATGAGGCAACACCTCTCATGTGATGACCAGAAGACAGAATGATGTTCATAAGGCACAAAGTAATTTTTCTTGTGGACATCCTCAGTAAGGCCTTGGCTTTTTCTTATATGACTGGACCTCCAAAGGTACCTGTCTTTTGTGTGAGTGGAAATTGCCATATTTATCTGATTATCCTTAAAAGATTTTTCTCCAGGTACAGTTCCTTTTCATTTCACTAGTGTCCCAGACCAGGGGGGAAGTTTTGGGCTGCGGTTTATGGTGGGGACGCACTTCTAAAAAAGCAAGCACAGCGTCAGGGAGGGTATAAGAGGGAGTGCAGACCCAGAGGTTGAGGCACAGGGCACCAAGCGTGTATGTCCTGTTTCTGGAGCAGGATGCCAGTCCCATGGTACTCAGCTCACCACCAAAGGTGGTAGAGGGCCCTTCGTGAGAGGTTGTCAAGAGTGGGGAGAGAGGTGTTTCCATATCATTTCCTCTTTGCTTCACGGAATAATGGCAAAGGGCTTGTGCTGTTCTGTGTGGAAATGGAGAAAACTGGCTTGGTAAGAAGGAACCACTGTTGGAATTCAGATTTTAGGTGGCTTTTTGTTTTACCTCCTGTTGTTTGAAGCATCTTCCACTGTTTATGTGAGGTTCTTAGAGGAGAAGCTTTGTTTTTTGTAGATCTCAGGGGGTTTAATGGCAATCTTCTGTCTTGCTTTTCTAAAAGAGGTTTTCTAGTTCAGGTAAGGAGTGATGCTGGGAATCAGTCTGCTTTGTGCATTGACTTAAAATGCATAATTACAGTGTTCCCTTGTAACTTTGTAGCTGATAAACATGTTAGGTAAATGAATCAGATTATTCTGAGGTCTAAGTTAGACATAATGTGCATAGTATCAGTTCCAGCTGAATAAAGATTGGTCTGGTTTTTCTGATGTTGCCTTTGAGCCTTATGTTGTTTTTAACAGACTTTTAAATTTTAATGTTCAGAAATTTCAAATACTAAGCTCAGTTCTGCTCAGAAGAGGGAAGCTGACCTTGTGGTTTAAAGTGTGGAACTGGAGATGGGGAGTTTTAGCCCCCTTAATCGTGTGGGGGGGGGCTGTTATGTAATAGTGCCCTTCAGTTGACTGATCTGTAAAAGGAAGGCAGTGCTGGTATTTCTTGTCAAGACCTAAAAGTGTGTTGAGTATCTCCAGGTAGAAGGTGCTATTTATGTTGTTTGTATTTGCTCTAATATCTGTTAGACCAGACACACTGCAAATATATACTAGCCTTGCTCATTTCCATGGTTTTCTTTGTGGAAGGCTGTGCCTCTTGTGCTACAGGAGAAAAATGAAAGACTTGTGCCTGTGAAAGTTGCGTTGCATCAGCCAGTCCTGTTAAGTGACGTGGGTATCTTAGAAAAAGAGATTAAAAGCAAGAATGTACCATTGAGGTTATATCTGAACTCTTTAGAAGTAAATGAAAAAGGTAGTTTTGGTCTCCTTGGAGAGTTTAAACTCCAGAGGAAGAGCAATGTGAGGAAAGAGGTTAAAGCCTTTAAAGAAATACAATCATTAGTTCTAATAGAGAATGTAAAGTAAAAGAAGCTTTGTCCAGTAGCCACACTCACCTGTCTTCCTAGAAATAAATTTTGAAGGTCTAAAACGTTCAGAACTAAGAGAAAAGTTGTAGGTGCTAGCAGTGTTACAGCTGCAGTCACCAGTGTATTTAGCACAGATACTGTGAAAGCCTTTCTGGGAGTTCACCAATTACCAAGTCAAGCCACTTAATTATGGACAAATAATTTTGTATTCCTCAGACTCTAGGACTTGGAACATAACATTAATGGTTGGCATTCTTTCCTAGAAAATGAAAATAAGAATTACTTTAAATCATATATATTTTTTTTTTAAGGTACTCACCTACCCTCTGACGGCCATAATGCACTAAGCAAAATTTAAAATAATTCTAACTAATATCAGCGTAGTTTGGTGTGCGTAGTCTTTATACCCAGCCATTTTGAAATTCTTAAACCGCTGCTTATTTCTCATCATAAGTGGTTTGGGTATTTTTTTCCCCTGTGAGAAGGTTTCTGAGACACCTTCCTCTTCAGAGTTTGGAATAAGTATTTCTTTTGTGCAGGGATGCTAAGATACGTGTCAGCACGTGGTGGAAAAGGCTCAGTGATTATTTCACTTTTCTGTGTGTGTTCTTAAAGTATTACCACAGTGGCTGAAATTCTCAGAGGGGAGGTTACCTTAGTACAGAAACAGCGGTGGTAAATTCTTCCTTTACGTGGGTTGATAACTGTTGCTGCCTTTTGTTTCAGGTTCTCCTGGATGAACTTTCATCCACTAAATACTGGGTATCCATGCATGTCTCAGACCATAGTGGATTTCATTACCGCCAGTTCTTACTTAAGTCCTTGATAGGTAGAACTGTGACTGACAATAATGTACTGGTACAAAATCAAAAGATAAATGAGCAAAGCCCTAGCCTTCAAAATGAGAAAGAGAGTGCAGGGGCAGAAGCTGCCTGTACGGAGCAACAGAGCATGGATCTCCCCCGCTGCTTAGAGGAAGAGTTGGAGCTCTGCACTGAACTGATTGATACTTACCCAGGGCATGAAACCTTGTGGTGTCATAGGTAAGAGGACTTGGTCAGAAGAGTGTCCTAATTTGTGTATTGTTCTTTGCCTGATGTTTCCAGACAAATCGTTGTTGTGTTTTTAAAAGGTACCACTCAATAAAAGATTTCTAAGCTACCATGTTCTAAGCCTTTGGAAAACATTAAGAGCATAATTGGAGCCATTGAATGGAAAATTTGATTTGGCTTGAGTATCTTGTTGATGTAAGCTCACTTGTTCCTATAGTTTGTGCAGGAGACATGAGATACTGTTAGGTAGCTTCTTCACACTTAAAATGTTTAAAAGCTGGCAAAGCAGAGGTTTCTGCAGCTGGGTGTATGTGCCTGACTAGGTAAGAGCAGATTTGCCAAAGTGACACTGAGCCCTTTCTTGTAGAGTGTTAGCAGTGGCAGCGGATTCTGTGTCTGCTTGTGGGGGCATCTGGCGGGATGGCAAATGAGCTGAAGCAATTCAGCAACAACAGCAGATTATTCTCAGTGCATGACTTTTTTTTTTCTTTTTTTTTTTTTTCTTTCCTTCCATCTTTTTCCTCTGAAGAAGGCGTGTGTTCTACCTTCTGCACCACCTCAGCAACAAACTTCCTCTTCTGAGTGCGGTGGTACCATCTGTGGACAGCAGTGATGAAACTCTGAATAATTCTCTCCACAGTCCTGCGACAAGTCATATGGCACAAGCTATGGATGTTGATGGTTTGAATGAATCCAGCAGCAAACAAGGTTATACCCAAGAAACAAAACGCCTGAAGCGTGCTCCTATGCAGGACTCTCTTGGTCCAGAAATGGAATACCAGTTCATTGATAATGTATTATCAACTTGTAGGGATGCAGACCAAGCCAGGTGTGCTACTGCTTATAGAAAATGGTTAGTTACTTTTTTAGGTCAATGAAGAAAGGGTTTAAAGCCTCCAGGGTTCTTCTTTTAGTGCAATATTCTCTTTTCAGACACAAATGCATGTCTTGGTTGCAAGTGTTAGCTAACCATGTGTTTCTCACTCTTTTAATGGTCTGTCCTACAGTTCATATTCAGAGTAGAAGTCTATCACTTTATTTATTAAGGAACTGGTATACCTTTTTATTAAGCAAATGCAGTTTAATCTTTTTAAGAAATCACTCTGTGTCAGCTTCCTACCATGCCATTTTCTTCTGCATTAAGGTGGATGCTGGATCATTTGGCTATTGGAAAAAAAAAAAAAGTCTGAAACATTTTTGAAACAGTGTCTGGAAAAAGAATAGGAGGATCTGTCAGTATCAACTAAACCTGTTTCCAGGTTGTTCCTCTTTACCATTGTGGCATTTTGCTAATACCTTATTGTATTCAGACTATATTCAGTGACTGCTATTACTTTTGTATTAGCAACCTTTGGTAGAACACTGGACTGCAGTGTTTCTTTCTCAAGGCTCCAGTAACAGTATTGGAGCCATGCCTTTTCCTGTTGGAACCGGGGTTTTGTTTGCTTATTAGTTGTCACATGAGTTTGATAGGAACCTGAAAAGCAGAGATAGGAAAATGTGACAGAAGATAGTTCAAACACACATTCACACTCACAGTCAGAGCTATACTTGGAAATACTTTTCTTAGAAGAGACAACTCTACCTTAATTTCCTACTTGGTATTTATTTATTTATTTATTTCAACAATCCAGAATTAATGACACTTGATACACATTTCTGAATGTATCGTGTACACTACAGAATCTCAGCCTGCTAAAACACACGTTGGTAACTTGTACTTAACCAAGACCACCATACAAGTCCAATAGATGATGGAATATAAAGTAATTCTTCTGACTGGTCATTGAGACTATATCATTAAAAAAACAACCAAACAAAACAAAACAGCAGGAGGGAGCTATCTCTTCAGTTTTGTTCTTTTTCAGAACTTCAGTCTTTGATGTTTTTCTTTTGACTCTTTCTTAAGAGCACTTCTCCAACCATACATCTCTGTTTACATAACTGTAAAATTTAAGGGAATTTGAAACACATTTCGATTTTGTTTCCAGTGAAACTAAACATGAATAGTTTATATTGTAATTTCCTTAGAACTTGTCTATATAAGGGATTTTTTTACAATAATGAAATTGTACTGGTCCAAAGACCCAGGGGAGAAACACTGTACAGTGTGGAAATTTGTACGATGGCAACATAACCTCTGTTTCAAACAGATTATTCATTGAGGGGATGAGATTTTTCCAGCTAGTCTTTGCCAAAATTGCTATATATTTCTCCTGCCCAAAGTGCCTCCTGACTGTGATAAGTTTCAAGCTGCTGTTTCTGTTGGGCAGAGAGAGCAACAATGAGAGAAAAAAACATGGGTACCCTGCTCAAAAGGTGTCACTGGGAAAGAAAAAAGACACTCGAGACATGTGGAAGTCCAACAGTTCTAATTAATTTGGTGGTTGGGGGTTACTCTTGCATTTCAGAATGAAAATAGACCACCTCTGGTCTAAGAGAGTATGTTCATAACTAATTTCAGGCACAGAGTAGCTAACAGAGACATTTCTAAATGTACACTCTTCTGTTTACAGTACCTAGATGAGATTGAACTAGGCTGGAGCAACTCCATGGCAGAGCTTTCTCTCAGTGGGCATCCACACTTGCCTGTGTAGATCTATGGACGTATTACATGGCCATTTATTTTGAGGTGCTCTGGGATGCTGTCTTGGTTGATGGTTTTAGTTGCAGAAGAATATAATCAATGTATGAAGGAGATGTGGGAAAGGCTTGAGAGGATAATTCCGTCAGAAGATGTTGTCTGTAGGACTGCTGACAAATGGGTAGGTTCATGTACAAACCTGAGTCTGAATTTAAGAACTTAACTAGAAGATAAACTTTTACCCGTCCCAGAGGACCTGATGGTTTTTGAGTGTGAAAGATATATTAAAGCATGTGTAGTAGCCTGGGTCAGTTTGATTAACAATATCTAACCCATGACTAATATGAACCTGGGAAGTGTGAAGTCAGCTGGCAATTACAATACTCTTGGTCCTAGATTACTTAGTAATGTAGTTGTTTGTTCTGTTTATGTTGGCAAAAATGACCTGTTCATAAAAAAATATTAGTGGCAGGAGCAGACTGGGAAGTGGGAACATGCTAATAAATACTACTTTAACTGTGGAAGGGAAGAAATGCTCTCTTCTTGCACTGGAATGATTGAGTTTCTTAGAGGAAAAGACTTGTAATAGAATCTGTCTTGAAACCCGTTATATATGTCTTCCTGGCTGTAATCTGGAGTCATAACTGGCTTTCTTAGTGCTATATTGTGGAAGTACTGTGCTATTGAATTTGACAATCTTTCCCTCATAAACAATTGAGATCAAACAGCTGCCTTCGTATACGTGTATGCAGTTCCTGTTCATGTCAGCACGAGTTATGCATGCTTGTATGAAGACAAGATTTGGTCCTATATAATTGAACAGAGTTGCATTGTATATTCATACTTGGAAAATGTTCTGAGAGCTCTGACTAGAGATGGTGCTGATATTTTTGTTACTTATACACACCACCAATGGCTGAAATACAACTCATAAGTGTGGGTTTTTAAAGCCTACACCTGATGGAAATACTCTCCCTTTTTTTTTTTTTTAATCCAGTGAGAATAGTTACATTTAGAAATGTTTGCAGACCAGTCTCTGCCACACAGAACTAGACAAAAAAGTGAAATTGAAACAAGTCATATCTTCCCCTTAGAAAGAAATGCAAACCATAAACTGTCAAAACAGAACTTCGATTATTTTCACGGTAACAATATAAGTTATATGAAAGAAGAAAATATATAACTAAATTACTTCAAGCTGTCGGTGTCCTGAAGCCTCTTACATTAAATGGTTGCAGACATACTTCCAATGAATTGCATTAAGCTCACAACTATATGATGTTTTGGAACTATAATCTTTGGAACATACCTGTGAAATCATTTGGTATTACTGCTGAGTCCCATTTGGGCACCACTTGAAAAAAAAAAAATTGACTTCAGGCCATTAGTAATTGACATGCGTAAAGGTTACCTAGTACAGCTGCTTTAAGTGATGTGTTTCAGTAGTTTTGTGCTTCAGAGGTCAGAGATTTGTAATGTAGTCAAAATTCTTGCAGAGAAGATGTCCAACAGAAGCTGCAGAATGCAAGGCTTTCACTATCTGAAGTTCCTTCAGCTATAAAATCAAACTTTGTACATCCGTAAACATCTTTATATAAAGTTCAGCATCCTTACTGATTTTATCTTCTGCTGTAGTATGTGTCATTTGAATTGATGGAAATTCTTTTGTTCACTGGATTAGTCTTTGTAGAAATGTCTTTGTACTAGAAACAAAGGGTTTTGAGGAACAAATGTGATTTGAAACTCCAGAAACTAGAATAGAAGGAATCACATTTTTAAGGGGTTGAATTCTCTGCTGCTAAATACATTAACTGTTATTTCACTGGCATTTGGTTTATCTTGTGTGTACAGTCACTGGAGCAATACATGCAGCATTGAAGATAGCTACAATAACAAACATGAAGTTACTGGAATGCATTGCTGTAACTGCTCTGATTAATATTTGTTAATCCACTCATGCCTACGTATCAGTGTTTTGTTGACTTCTTACATGTTCTTTATACAATCAAATCCTTATGTCACTTAAAAAGGGGAAGAGTAAATTGTCAGTTTATACTGTTTGATTAATTACCTTATACAGAATTTGTTTTAAGACAAATAAGCAAAGTGGCAATATAATGAGAAAACTTAGATTCTGTCTTACAATCAATTCCTGGCATTTCCAGATTTTTTATTAGTGCTACTTAATTAGAATGTGTAGCTAGTCTTTATGGACAGGAGTGAGTTTTCTCCTAAGTAGATAATTCATGACTTTTCAAAACAGTACTGTATAATATTGACAAACAGAAACAGAGGGTTTTGGAAAGGTTTGTCTGCATACCCATAGTCATCAAGCATACTTTTTCAGAGTAACAAATGACTCTCGTAGTCACATTTTGTTCATTGTATTATATAAAGTGGTGAGTCTTCAGACTTGATGATTGAATTTTTGGACAAGGTTGATTGCTTAGTTTTGTTTTGCCTTCTGGAAGGGAAGAATGTTCTTCAGTTTTTCAGTAGGAAGTGAATTGTTGCAGTGTGGGGAAGAAGACCCAGAACTACTTAGTTGTATCTTGTAGAGCAATTTTGGAAAAAGCAGCAGTGAAGTGAAATGTAGATGTGACTTTTAAATGCATGTTTGTCCTGTAGTCATTTGGTGATGAGAGGTCTTTACAATTATTTCTTACTGTTTTATTAATGTCAGGTATAAGAAAAGAGGGTAACTCACCTATTCTTAGATGCACTTAACATTCAGGTTAGTTTCAAAGCAAGTTCAGTGTCCCTGTCTAAGATTATTTTCCTTCTTTTTATTTTCCCCCATGTGCTCAGAGGTGTTTCCTTCCCAACACATTGTCTGTTCTTCCAACCAGCAAAGAAGAATGTAGCAAAGCGTTGGTGAGGTGGCCTCATTCCGTGTTTAGATAACTCTGACTACCTCCCAAAAAGCGCTCTGATTGATGTCCTTGAGTGGAATTCATCAGGCTCAATTTTTTCAGAACCTCATGCTAGGTCTACATCCTCTTTGAGAGGTGCAAAGCACGAGCTTTAGCTATGAAGCCATCTAGTTTCCCCAGGAGAGTTTGAAGGAGAAAGGAGAAAAAATAAATCTTGTGGTTAAAGTTGGGAAAACTAGATTTAGCATAAACTTTCATTAGTCTTTTCCTCTGAAGGAGCAATGTGCTGCTGCAAAATGGAGGAAATGTGCTTCCAAGAAATTCCTTTGAAATAGTTTATGCTTTTAAATTACAGAACTGACAGTTTCTAGTGGCTTTTACTTAGTGTGTAATGTTACTTCTCAGGGCATAGTCTATTGTAGTGAATTAGCATACATTTTTACAGTTTATAGTTATTGATGGAAAAATAAAAAAAAACAACCAAACAAACATAAATACTAAACAGGTAATAACTGGCTTTTTTTTTTTTTTGTCTAGCATAGTGTTTTATATCTACCCACAAGCTAATGCTGTACCTAATGATTCACACTAGACCTAACCATCTCATCTGCATCATGTTGTTCTTCTGTATATTAAATTTCTATTGCAGTCTTGCAGGAAGCTGCTGACAGTTGCTGGGTTTCTTCTCTGAGTTCCTTAGTACTACTCAGTAGGATATTCAGTATGTCACAAAGACATATGTTGTTAATGATGGGGAAGCTTTTTACAGTATCTGTGTTGACGCACTGTGTACCTTAGTTTTTTAAAAGAGGAACACTTTTGTTGGGAGTCTGAATACTAGAATTGCAAAAGCTTTTAGTTCTTGATAGCTGGTAGACACCTGTGTACAGTACAACTATTCTGAAGAGCAGAACCCTTAACTGAAGTCTAGTTTATTAAGCATCTTTATCTGTACCATCTAGAACCTGCTGTTAATCCTACTGTATAGATGGAGGTGGAAAGAACCCACAGTGAGGTGCGTGTTTTCTTCATGGGACACTTTTCTAAACAGAATATGACTATGGTGAAACAAAGAACTTTTCTTGCATGAGGTATTCTTGTATGTTCATTGTGAATAAATTTATTAAATTGGTACCTCATTAATACGATAAGATTTCCTGAATGGCTGTGTAGAACAAGTAGATAAATGTTTTTTTTTTTTTTTTAAATGAATATTACCGTTTACTGAAAAATCACATAAAAGATACACAAGGTACCAGAACCTGTTTTTGCAAGATACAATATATTTATACCTACTGTGTTCAGTCCCTTTTGTTTCAGTTTTTCTTTTTTGAAATGGCTCCATTTAAAACTGAGTCGTCGTCTTGAAAAGTGTGCTTGAGAATGTCATCTTTAATTTCATGTAATAGAAATAGTAGATGTCTTAAATGTTTTTAAGTAGTGCTAAGATCCAAGGTAGTGACAGCACTACAGTATTCAAGTGAGCCCCATAACACTAATTTTGTCCGTCGAAGTACTATTCTATGGAGGAAAAATGTTTATTTTATCAACATACATGAAGAAAATATTTAATTTTCACAGCTTTCATATTAGGGGGAAATACAGTTGTCTTCATCATATTTTTGCAATTTTTTTTTCTATGAAAAATTCACAGATACACAGTTGTGACTATTGTAAATTTTACATAGATTTCCAATACAGATAAATTAGATAAATGGTAAATTTTGCAGCAGAAAGACTAAAATGAGGATAGGACAGTAAGACACTGGAAACTAATCTGATAAATTACCAGTGTTCTACAGGATAGTGAATGTAAAGCATTAGGTTTAGTTTTTCACTGGTCTAGGATGAATTCCTTTCAGAGGGAGATTGGTTTCTTTCTGTCATCAGTAGAGAGCTTATCTGTGAAAATTATCTATATGTTCCCACAATAAGTGTGCGTGTATGCGTAGATGGATGGCAGAACTGTATTTATGTCCTGCGAAAAAGGCAAAAATCTCCCACGTATGGCGATTTTTTATAACACTGGTGGTCTGTGAACAGAACTCTTACGTGGAAGACCTATCCTAAATATGAATCTATGGGGATCATTGCCTGTGTCAGGGCTTTTGCTGAAGGCAGTGAGATCTCTTGCTTCCCCTCTCTGGATTAGTCTGCCTTGCTTTCGTGATGCTTGGGCAAACATGTGCATACACAAACCAAATCATTAGTGGAGTTTATTCCAAGTGCTTGTAGGGACTGTTTGAGATGGTGAAAGAGTTTGTAAGGTCATGCAAGCTGGGAGAACTGGGAAGTGCTCTACCGGTGTCCTACCTGGGGGTTATCTTTCAGGAGTCCTCCAGGAAAGAACAGATAGGCATATTATGGATGAAGTGCTTTAGCAGCACAGCAGACTGGGAAAAGTATGTCAGACACAAACTAGCAACTGAAATTGGTGTTTGAATGTGAGCAACAAGTAGTCTTTTTGGTAATTTATTTTCAATGTTTTTCTCGTGTTCCTTATATAAAAACAAATCACATTAAAAACATATTTTCAGACTTACTCATAATTTTGAATGCTTTCTGATTTTCAGTTATTGGATTTGAGAGCTCTCCTTAAAGGGCTCGATTTTACTGAAAAAATGCTAGCATCATTCCTCTTTCTTCCTAGACAATGTGATTAATTCCAGATGTTCTCAAATGGGTATCTGAAATCACAGGGCATTACTGAAAATAGTGTTTTTCATCTTAAATGTAAAGCTTAAAAAGCAAGGACATGTTCTGCTCATACAGGTGTGGGTTTTTTTCATTTTCCCTTACTCGCTGCTAGGACAGAAGGTAGGAAGAATATATGAGGAGGTCCTGAGTCGATATTTACAATCTTGGTTTACGTAATTTGGAGGTTCATTAAATCAGAAAGCTTAGTATGAGCAAGTAATAAACCCTCCAGGGTCCTTGTGCGGAAATAATTTGCAGGATCTGGTCATTAGTTCATTTCAGATCTGAGTGCTTGATTTTTACATCTGTTAAAATGAGTGACAGATTCCCACTGACTTCACTGACGTAGGGTCAGATGACGCTGCAGAGGATATCGGCCACTACATGGCAGCTCCGACATATTTCGTGTGGTGGGTTTTTAAGTCTCTGTCTTTCGCAAATGGTCGTATTTATGGCTTCAAGGAAAAAGGGCAGTTAAGGTAGTGGATATTCATTAGCACTGTGGTTGAGGAGAATCTGTTAAGGTTGTGGGATTTTATAGGTGTAAACGGGCATCTAGAGAGAAATATGGGCACTACAGGGTATCAATAGCTAAGAAAGCTTCCTTTTCGCTTCCTTTCATACCACATTCACTTTTTTCTTGTTTTTTTCCTCTTTCGTAGTGGAAAAAAGTTTCATACAATATACCTGTGTGCAACCAGGTTAACACATTAGTTTGAGAAGTATTGCATATCGATAGCATATAGATCAACGCCTTGAGTTTTATGCAAGATATTTAGGCACAAATGGTAAGCTTTTAAGTGCCATGTGATAACCGATGCAATATTGAAGGGAGAAAGTCTTAACAAACAGTTAATGGCTTAAGTGTCGCTGTTCTCCAAGTGTGCTATATACATTTATGGTGCAACAATAACCTGCACGTTTGTCTCCCTGTCGTCTCACAAATGCTTATAACTAGGTAACAGCTAATTTCCTTTTTAAAAAGCATCTACTTAATGTTGATTTGATAACAACAAATAATTGTAGAACATCTCTAGTAGTAGATAATTTTCCCAGACCTTTAATCCATCTTCAGTGGAACCTAGCCAAGTATAGATATTCATGGTTATAAATCTAGTTTTGCTGTGAAGGGAAGTTGAAATTCCACCATGTAAAACACTCAGTTTTCTGTTGTCTAGTTAGAAACGTAGGAGGACATCCTAGCACTGCTTTCCAGTTGTGCACACTGAGTTTTACCTTGTTCATCTCAAATATTTTATGTTGCATGTTAATTAAATTTTTACATGTCCTAGTAATACAAGAGGAAAAAAAAAAAATAACCACCCCTACAGTCCTAACTATTCTATGCAGATGTCTTCCAAAATTTACAGGTACAATTTTAGTGGTGGTGGTGGTTGGTAAATAGATTCTTTTTTTTTTTTTTTCCACTTATCAGCAGAATTGGTTTTATATGTATTAGTGACAGAATGAACTAAGCACAGCTGTACGTTACTGTATTTCTGTAGAAAATGGAAAATAGTGTAAAATCCTTTTTGTTAAATGTTGGCAGTTTTTAAATAAACTTTTAATCTCCTAAAAAAAACTGTTTTCTGTGACAACATATTTACCTTGGACTCCATTTTCATTGTTTACCAACAGATATCTTCCCAATTATTGCTAGTCTCTTTTCAGTGATAAGCCTCTCTTAACAGGAACTGCAGCTTCTCTAGTGAATTTAGGTGATGGTAGCAGACTTATTTTTGGTCTATTTAAACATCAACAGTTAAGAGTTTTTCATATGCATTCCTACATCTTTTGTTCAAACTTAGTTTATGAAAGCATGGAGATGAACAGCAGCTCTTCCAAGTATGAAATTTCTTTCTGGCAACAGACAGCTGGCTGTACTGTCTAGAGTTGCAAAACTTGGGACAGCTGAAGGATGCTCATGCTTCTGTAACTTCTTTAAGTTTCAGCATGTTGTTCAGTGATGTGCTTGCCTTTTTTAAAATCTGAAATCAACTAGAATAGTTTATGCCAGTCTTTCCAGGGTTCATACAATTTCTGTGCTGTTACAGTTGAAGGGAAAACATTTCACAGATCTTAAAAGCAGGTAACTGCCCTCTTACATTCAAAAAATACACTTTATTTGATTCATATTAAAGAGGGATATAATCTAGAAGCATGGTACTTTGATCCCAGTTGATTGCCTTTAGAACATAAATTTTGCTGTATAAATTTTATGAGACTACCTGAAGAAATAATGGTGACCTCTGGTGACCGGTAATCTGAACTGGATGAAAAGATGCTTGAGGTATGCTCATAGTTTTTGTAAACTTTCTAATTAGGCGAATGCATATGCATTAACACCTGGATCCACAGTGCCAAGGTTTTATATGTGCAGTTAAGCTCCTCAAATAGCATTCTACTTCATGTATAGTTTTGTGCTTTCATTTATACAAAATTGGTAATTGTTTATCAAAACTGACTCACATGTTAAGATGTCTTTCACAGACTTGAGTTAACGCTGCAGTAAATTTGCTTCCAGTCCTTGTATATCGGGGCATTTAATATCTCTCTAAAGAGATTTCATTCCAGGCTGTTATCCAAATAAATCTGAGGTTCATACAATTTAAATAAATGTTTTAAAATGTATTAAATTAATAAATATTGATATAAAAGAATATTGAGTTATTAACAGAATATGTGGTTGGGCTTGGGTTTTTTTTATCTAAACAATGGCTACATTAGGATATTTCAGTGTAACAGCATATGTAAAAATTCTTCAGATAAACTTAGACATTTGTGTGTATTAGATATTTTACAGTGCACAACTGGAATCGTAGGTCCAATAATTCTCAAATTTACTTAAATGTTTCTTGGATTTTCTTGTCATCCTGATATCTTGTTCATCAGATACACATGCAAAATAATGGGCTAACAACACGTATGAAAAGAAATGAAAAACGTGGTGTGTCATTGTCTTCCACTTGCACTTTGTAATATTTATTTGTTCTCTGATATAGGGCTTCAAATCTTCCACTGTTGTCCAGTTCCAATAAATGTAAATGTTCCCCAGCTGCTAATAAGCATATGAAGACATCTGGGTTTCCTTTGCTGGATGCCAGAAGGCAGTGGTGGCATTTTCTGGTTTTTCAGAGGTATGAAGCATCTGGCTGTTCCCTTGCAGTCTGTCGGGGGTTGCTCTGAAAAGCAAGTCAGGGATCCACCGCTTCCTGCTTCCTTTGTAGTTGGACACCTGAAGCATCTTTGAGAACTACTTTTCTGCAATACCTGGTAAAGACGTTAAAAAGGGAAGTAAGTGGAAATGTTATGCCAAGAAATATCTCAGCAGAGAGGGGTAGGGTGGTGGGGCACGGCGTGAATAAAAAAGCACGACGGAAACAGTTTTGACATTTGGCTGAGTCCTACCATTACCTACATGAGATGTATCTGACACGCAGACACGTTGACGATCTAGCAAAGCTGTGTCTAAGGCAAGAAGGCAGCCTTTTGAGGGCAAGCATGTTTCAACATTTGAAGTGGAGTGTTCACAAGAGAAGTTTTCTGGTTTACTATGGGGACAGCTTTTTTTATTTCTCTTGTATATATTCTCAACTATGACATGCCTTGTAGTATCAGTATTTCTTTTGCCAAAGTAACCTTTCCCGGTGGCTTACAGCTCAAAAGACAAAGTAGGTAACAAAGATTTGTAACTGCAGAACCCATGGGGTTTCAGAGGTCTTGCTTTCTCCAGATGAGCTTGCTTGTTTAAGCAGAAGTATTAATCTGCCTGGCAGCTCCATCTGATTGGAAAAAGTTACACCATTGAAGGTGCACTTTGTGGTTTCCATGGCAATTGGTGATTACCAAATGGAGTCAAATAGAAGGCAGGAAGAGAAAGATCAGTCCAGCTGTTTACTGTCATTATCCATCCTAAAGCTAAAAGCATACATCTTTATCACATACAGGCATGAAGTAAAGTAAAACTTTAAGGCATGCCAGTTCTATAGTGTCATTTCAGGTTAGCATATCTGTGTATACGTGTTTGGCTGTATGGGAGATGACTGGTTTTAGCCAGGGAGATTAATCGGAGCTACAAACAAATCAGTGGAGCCATGAAAATTTAGTAGCCACTGATAATCTGATGCCCTTAATTTCTTCCTCGGGGTGGCTTCGCCACTGAAGAGCAATATGGCTTTTGCTGAGGAAAAGGGAAATAGGAACCTTCCTCTCCGTGCATAACTGCTGTCCTTACAATGTAGTGTCCGGACTCATTTTGCAGGTGACAGACCCCTTTTGTACCCCTTGCTGTCTACGACTGCCTTGTTCCTCCCCATCCCCACTCCTGCATCAGTCTGCACAGCTCCACCAACCCCCTCGGGTTTTCATCCCTATCGGTTGTAACTTTCTGATTTGCCTGTGGTTTCTCAATAGCCCATCGATTAGTGTGACTGATGAGGTCTGTTTCTTGCCTCTGTCTGTGTTAGTTTATCTGTTGGGTTTGTGCATCTGTGTGTTCTTGTTTATGGCTTCCCCCTTTGCTTATTATCGATCCCCTTCTGTGTCAAAAAGGTCCTTGACCAGATGCCCTTAAGGAAACAGAGGCTCCCTCCTTCTACATACCCTTGCACAAACAAGTTTGCCTGTTTTCGGGGAAGTTGAAAACCTTGGCTTTTTCACCCTTCCAAATAAGTCATCCCTAAACCTGACTCAGCAATCCTACTTTGCAAGAGGAAAAAATGTCAGTGGAGAGGAACTGTGCATGAAATACATAATCCTTCAAATCTACTGGACTTTACATCTTATTTGTAGCTGCCACCTACCATTTGGTGACTTGCGTTTATGCATAGTCTCCCGTTAAGTGAAGCTTTTCCCAATGGAGGGTACAAAAAGATCTTTCTATACTGAACATAACAGACATATCTGAACTTGATCAAAACAAGCAGGCCTCCTCCTGGGCTAATTTACTTTGACAAGGAGGATGCTCCATTTTCAGCATACAGAGCAACCCAGTATTTGGAAGCTGATATATCTCTATGCTTCACCATCACTTTAAATGTGCTATAACAGACTTAAGATACATTAATAGCTCTTATCATTTGAATGAATGCAAAATATAAGCGTAAACACAAGTCTAGACAGACCATTGGTTTTTTATTTAGTCTGTTCCTTCTCAGTTCTCGGAGAACATGAAGATTCTTTCAATTTTCCACAAGGCTTTATTATCCAACTCTACTTGTCATTAAGCCCCCAACTGTTCCTTACTACTTCTGTGACCACTTCTCTTGTGTTGGGTTTGCTACCTCTTGTATATTTCGATTGCTTCATAGTTCAGTAAAAACTGTTTACTTGTTTATTTTTATATTTGCTCCTGGGGTCTGAATGCAGATCCCCACCTGGATGACTTCCTCATTGATTTGGAGTGTTGATTTTTTTTTTTTTTTTTTTTTGTTTTGTTTTTTACATATTCACTGAGCTCCGGACAAGACACTGACTCTCTCAGACTTACATTACACTTCTCTGATCAGCAAGACCTAGGTATCACACAGTATCATGAGACTGACACTTGAAAAGCGATCACATACAATTAGTGCCTATTTTAAAATGAAAAAAAAAAAAAAAGATTGGTTTCACTGATGCTTCTCTTTCAAACAGCATTTAAAGGAGCACTTCCAGTCCTGTGTGGTGAGGCCTAAGATGTAAATAGTTGCATAGTGCTCAAACAGCAGGTCTGGTATAATGTGATATGTTTTTTGTACGGGATAGCTACCACTGTGACATTTACATGCTTCAAAGAAGAAACGGTAAAGATCACACCTGATATCTCTCACGAGCTTCACCTGGAAAAAATAAGACTTGCAGCATGTTCTGAAAGCCCCCAGTGCAAGTGATCTGCTGGATCCAGTAGATTGCTGACAGGAGGGAATTTATGCCTCTGGGGATCCTTCACTGGGAGTATCTCCTTTTGTTCTCTCTTGGATTCCTTGGGGCTACCAATGGAAATGTCTTAGCCAAGGTTCTTCCCGCTTGCTGAAGTCTAATTCCAAAGCTATCAGGAAGGATACTGGTGCCAAGACATTAATTTAAAACCTGAAACTGAAAGCAGGAGGCTATAGATAGAAAAACTGGAGCTGAGCCGAATTCTAGCCTGGTTTTACCAAGCAGTTGGGCTGATGCTGTGATGACTGCTTTCTGTGGCATCATATGCAGTGTTAGAAGTACCCTGCTCCAGGAACCAGACCACCATTTGACTTGTTGCTGAAGTGACAAAAAATCCCCCATCAAGAAAAAAATCCAGCCACGCGATTAGTGATGGAGTCACTTGGGGTTTTTTGTATTCTGTAGAGCAAGCACTCCTTACTGCATGTGCTCCTTGCAGGTGCCTTTGGCAAGGGGCTTTGCCTGCCCCACCAACAGATGGAACAGGCACTGACCTTGCCAAGTCCTACCCTTCCTTCAGCCTTGCAAACCACATGCCATTGCTGCCTTCTCCAAAGTAGGTTTTAAACTTGCTCATGTCCCTCTCCGAGAGACACCTCAGAAACTGTGCTGTGATGGAAAGACAAAATAGAGGTGAAGCTATCACCTCAATTGCACTGCTAGAAGACACACAGTCCGGAAGGTGTCTCAGCTTCTTTTCCCTGTATAGGTGAATCTGGACCACAGGTTGGGACTCTGCAGAGTCACTGTTAGAGAAGGTCATTTGGGTAGATTGACAATGTCCTGTCTCCATCTGCTGCTAGGTCTTAGATGGGGAAGAGCAAGGTAGCATTGAATTGTCCCATCCACTATGTAGGTTTCACAAGCAGGTAAGTTAACGTATAAAATCTGCAGTGGAGCTATTTGGTGCACTTTGGCAGTGTACTGACGGCGATTGCTGGGGAAATAATTCAAGTCTGAAAAGAAAGACCTGGAGAATGAGAAGTCAAATATAAGTGATGTTGAAATGTCCTTGCTAATATGAACACAAAAGATATTTAGAAGGAAAATACTTATGTCTCAGCAGTTTTTGTTGAGGTCAAAGAGAAGTAATTTTCAGCAGCACCTCATTTCTCATCTCTTGCCTGAAACATGCCTTCGTACCATCCAGCCACAGGGAGACAGTGGCAATGCCTGTGGTTGTCACCAGGAGTCTCAGACCTTCGCTCTTTGTTCAGGCAGCTGCAAACAACCAGGATGCTGCCAACAGGTCAGCCCCTCAGAATCCCACCGATGGAGGTAGCTGAGAAATGTAGGGTAAGGTAAATCCAGTCAGTCTTCTCCAGTCTCACCATGCTCCCTTTCCCACTGTTTGCACATGCTGGCTCCTGTAACCTATCAGGGTAAAACTACAAGGCCAGATGGAATAATTAATTTATTTTATTCCTTCTGAGAGGTTCCTGATGTGTAAATTTTGCTAGAGATTCTATTGTGCAACTCAGTGAAAAATATGAAAAATCCCTGTTGGCTCTACTAAGTGCAAGATACAATTTATGAATTCATTGGCTTTGGCAAATATCACGTTCTGTTCAAGGCTGCTCTGCGAAAAAAAAGCCAAAGCAGTATGAAGCCAGATATTTTACACAGATAAATTCTTCAATCTGATTACAAAGTAAGGTGCTTTATACTCGCTACACAAATACTTCCTCTGACCGTTATACCTGGAAAATACATTTTCTTTTCCATCACTGTGGTCATTAAAAGTCATAGACTGCTCATGTCATAGTCTGAATGTATATTATAATCTATAATACAGAGGAGGTTTTCTCAAATTATCTTAACTGTTACAGATTTTTAGAAAAATACATGGTTTGGGGTTATTCAACAGTTCTATATGAAGGACCAGTCAGCTTTATTGTTTATCTATGTATATGTCTCAAAAAACTGTACAAACAGTATGAAAAAGTGATTCACTAGTGAAGGGGAAGAGTGAAGCAAAATTCTCTACAGTGCGTAAAAAAGGGGATATTAAATTGACAGTGATCTTCAAGTAGATTATACTCCTTTAGCATATTTTGAAACTTTCAAAATTGCCTACTTCAGTGTGGTGTTGCTGAATTCCTCAGATAATACCACATATCATGATATTATCTGTACATCTGATTCC